GAAAAAACTTATCCACATTCATGAATCCATCCTCCAATAAAAACCACCAAAAACGCCTGAAACTGCAAAATCGAAACATAAATACACAGTAGTGCCAAAGACGGCTCTGGTAGGTTCAAGTGCTCCCTTTCGCCGGTTTAAACAGAATTGATCACTTAAACATAATAATGTTGAAATTTTTAATCAACATCCACAGATGTGTACATAATATGGCGGTAATCATGGAACTTTCAATGTGACACATTCGAGGTGTCGTTCAACGGGAACTAGATAACATGGATTTTTTAATGGGTATCAGAGGTTTTGGTGCCTTTTGCGACAGTCGTTTCAACATTTCTCCCATCTGTCTTACATTGTTATGCTATTCAACATCTAAATAACGGTCACTAAATTTCCGCTTGCTGTGTTTTTATCATAAAACCCGTCAAATCTGTGCGACAATTGTATTTTACTGAGGACTGTCTGAAATTCCATTTTATAGTTTGAAATTTTAAGATTTTTTTTCAGAGTTTTCAAGTTATTTTTGGTTGTTTTGAACTTCTTCCCATACACAACCGTCCTCAATTTCTTTTAAAGATTATAAACTAGAAATTGATATGGAGTGTAATATAAATTGAAATTCTTCTTTGCTTCATCATGTATAGTATAATTATAATTCATTAAGATGTACCTACAATTACATTGTATTTTCGTATGTGGGAAATCATGGCAGGGTTATAAAATAAAAAGGTAGTTCAGAAATTTCACCTAATGATCACAGATGTTAAAAAATCCAACTTAATAATATCTAATTTGACAATTTAAACGGACTTAAATGCAGTATGATCTGACATCGGACATCATAAACTATTTAATTTCTAAGTAAGGTTATCATAATTTCCTTTACACATTCTCTTTTTAATGCTGAAATATTTGTGTGTGAATAAAAGAGTTTTTCCTGCAATAATTCATATAAATAACATAAACAAATTGTATAATAAAGCTTGGCAAATACAATCGATTGCCGCCGATACCTGTGTTACACCATGGATTTTACCAGTGTTTACAATTTTACCATGACACCGCTTTCCAATATGGCCGCATCAATAATTTTCAATGATTAAAAAAAATTAAAGTGGAATATTTAGACTTCTGTTCGACTTTGAAGTATGATAATTTGGAACCTTGCATAAAAAACGATTCTCTTTCAGGTAATGTAGACCGTTTCTTTGAAACTTTTCTAGTTTTCGCTCCCAACAACTTCTAATTGGGAAGCGTCCGTGCATAAAAATGCAGTTCGTGGTTGGACTTGGAAAAAGACAGCGCCCGTCCAAAATTATCTCGGTGTCTCTTTGACAAGTCTAATAAGTTGGACTATCCTAATTATAAGACCTATACGTAACCTATTTCATATTTATCATTCATTAATCTGATATTTTACTTTTTTCATTTTCCATGTTACGTTAGGTCTTAACAGATCTTTGCAAAATCGTGTAGCAAAAAAATTGACATTAGACATCTATTTAGATCTAATGCATTGAAAAAAAATTAAAACAGTGTGTATTTACATTAATTTTGACCTATTTATGAACAGAACTAAAAAATAAATATCTTTTAACAAAATAATTGAACTGTCACCTCCGAAAAGTCATGATTAAATCCTCTCATTTAATTGAATACCTTGTATTTATCATTCATTAATCTGATATCTTACATTTTTCATTTTCCATGTTACGTTAGGTCTTAACAGATCTTAACAATGTGTAACAAAAAAATTGACATTAGACATCGATTTAGATCTAATGCATTTAAACAATTAAAACACAGACTTCCCGAAATACGTCGGTCCGATGGACATGTCCGATAGATTTTGATTAGGTCCAACGATTTTTTATTCCGGATCGGTCCGACTGTCCAGCTTTTATCCAAGTCGCATGTATACAAAATGGCATCGCTAAAGGTGCCAAACCTGGGAAAAAATGAAAATCTACATCAGAGGAGGGCGCAGAACAGCAGTTAAAGGATGAAAAGAATAGACCCGAGACAAACTTTAATGAAAAATGGAAGCAGGACTGAATTGTTTGTGTATGACAGGGAGGAGTTGAAAATGCACTGTACGGACTGTGCCGATTTTAACGTCGAAAAATTTAAATCCGAAAAGTGTTTAAGAAATACAAACACAAGTTTTCCTTTGATTTTGATTAATTTTATCCGGTCTGACATATTTCGTTTCGGTCCGACAGATTTTCATGGTTTGTCAGACCGAATGTCTGACACTTTTTTTTAACTTTCGGGAAGTCTGAAACAGCGTGTATTTACATTAATTTTGACCTATTTATGAACAAAACTGAAAAATAAATATCTTTTAACAAAATAATTGAACTGTCACATCCGAAAAGTCATGATTTAATCCTCTCATTTAATTAAATACCTTGTACAGCCGATATACAAATGGCCGCCATACAGTGCGCGAGATCTGATTGGCTAATTTCAAATGCAAGCATTTAAATGAGTCCAGAAGTGTCTAACGGAATATTTTTTCAACGAAATAATTGCCCATGCACCATCAGTGTGTTCGAATATATTTTTCCGTTCAAAAAATTGGAATCAATCTGTAAAACACTTTACTTAACCAGTATGGCCGATGAGCGACATAGATTGATATTTATATTTTATTTTAATTGATAAGTACATTGTTTGAAAGTTTTTGTTAATGATAGACCATGCAATTGAAAGAACAGAAGATAGGCTTTTGAATAAAGCTTGAAAGGCAAGTCAACAGACATTTTTTAAATTTTTCAAAATGCTACGCGTTTAAGAGCAATAACTATTAGACGTCAGGCTTGACCAACATAAAACTATAACAAGCCTGTAACGTCTAATCTATTGGACTAGAGTTAACAGTAAAAATAATATGAAAAATGCAACTGTCTAACTTTATGAACTTACAGTTTTCAACTTCAAATTTACCAATTTAGGAAAATATGCTAGCATTCAAGATGTTTAAACTCTTAAATAAAGCTAAATAAATCTTACTTAAACTGTTCAGCTTCCCGAACACTATTACGCAAGGTAAAGGGTAGCTTAAGGTCTTCAGCGTACCTGTTTATATACTATGACATGACGTGAACGCTGAAGACAACCCTGTAGGGAAAGTCCACCAATAATCGTGCCAGGAATCTGGCACGCTCGTATTCATTCACCAAACATGCCATGAAGTAAAGTGAAGCTTACCTTGATAGAACTATATATAATCTGTTGATAAGCCAAGGATGGACAAATAAAAATCTTATTATGAACTTGAACTACCTAATAGTTTCCGACAGGTAAAAATTTCGGCACTTGGCCGCCATATTGCCGAAATGTTTGACCACGTGATTACGAGATTGACCTTTACGAACCCATGTGCTTCCAATATTTTTATACATTTTTTTTTGAAAGATATTGAAAAAGGTGATTTACTGACTTTTATATTCAATAAAATCATATTTAAGTACTAAAAGATTAATGAAAATAAATAAAAACATTATCTTGAATAAAAAAATCGAAATCATGTCAACAAAATGTTATAAATATAGTACACGACTCTATTCAAATCTGTTCCCGCGAATGACGTCATACGAGATCTCGCGTGGAACCTGAATGTCATGGCCGACGTAGTCGGCGTAAATTGATGTTTTAAAGTTAAAAAGGCAATTTTAATGACGGTATTAATATTTTGATACTTTAATTGGTATAGAACAATACTAAAATAATTGTTTTATCGTAAAATGCACAAGAATTGATTGGGTCAAGTGTATTTGCAAGTGAAAAATAAGAATAAATCAACTTATGTTATTCTTGTTAGGTTTCGTAACGGGTCTAATCCAAAACTTTAATGCCGCATCAGATGAAAAACAAAAATGTTAAATAGCGGCTTATAAAGTTTTGGAAGCCAGAACTAGGTAAAGGGTCAAATCGGCCCTATACCAACTCAGCACAGGCCCTCTATAAAAACATATATTAGGATATAGATTGTTTACTTAATAAAAAATTTAAGGAGTAAATTACTATAATGTTATTCAGGAGTATGATCACTTACAAACAGAAATTGAAACAGTTGGCAGTGTACCTGTACTTATAGTTTGAAATTATCTTTGTTAACAAGAGATATCAAGACAATATATGTTAAATATTGATCTATAAATAGAATTTTCGGATTGAATTTTTGTGACAATGAATGTAATTGTATTTAATACTGTTGAATACAACCATTGTGTTTTAACGATATTTTTTACAAAAAATCTGGAGTTGGCAAAACATGCATATAAATTGTAAATTCTTTCTTTCTCTACAAATTCACATACAAATTGGTACTTTCATCAATTAAACTTTTCAATATCCTTGAGTAGAGATCTGTTACTGTGAAAATGTGAAACCATGAAAGTTAAAGTAATAAAAGTAATCATTACCAGTAATACATAATTATGGGCCGAGTTGACCTGTGCCGAGTTGGAATAGGGCCGAGCTGACTCACAGGCCGTTTTAGGGCCAGACTGACCCTGATTCTAACGCAACACCAAAAATGTGTTGTACCTTTTTTTTCAAATCGCCGTCCTTGGAATTGGGAATACTTTTATTTGGATTAGGAAAAAAGAATAATTGGAATGGGGTTGATATTTGGACCTGTGGGATAGGGGGGAAAAGGCCTGGTATTGCTATGTGCAAAAAGATATTTTACAGAGGAATAAAAGCAGAAAGAAAAAGCCAGAATACACTTTAAAATAAAAATTATGTGATGGTAACATTGGTTCTTATATTAAAGTCAGTTTACTATTCTACTTTCACAATGATAGTTTATTTAATGATACTATAAAGTGTTGTACAATTGTAACTTGAAATCCTGTTTCTGAAAAAAATGCTATGAACAAGTTTGAAAAAGACATTTCATGATTCATGTTTATATTGTGACACAATAAAAGTGATGCTAATGGCAAAAAAAGGTATCTTGCATAAAAAAATCTTTCATTATTTATTTACAGGAGAGGCAGACTGTTATATCTGTAGACACACCCTCTGGTCAAGAGGGTCCTGGGGCTCCACCTTCTATACCTCAGATACCAGCACAGCCTAAACCTAAGCCAAGAAAAGGTATGGTTGTTATTAAACCTTTGTGTTCATATGCCAGTTTTCACAAATGGGCATTTTCCCACCTAAAACCATGCTTCTTTTATCATCCATTTGATTTTGTTTACTTTGAACCCTAACTTAGGATGGGTTGGTTCTGTATATCAATCTGAACGTAAAGAGTCCCTTCTTCCTTGTCCAACCAGTAACTAAGGAAACATTTTGACCTACAGTCCTAATTTTTGGTGTGAAGGTTGGTCAAGATTATTTGGTGACCTTTATTGATTTTTGGGCCAAAGGTCAAAGCTCACAATGGTCAAGACAAGTCTAAGTTTGTCTAACCAATAACTAGAGGGCCTAAAGTCCTAAGATATTATCATAATTATGTGGAGGTCAGTCATGACTAGTAGATGACCCCTATGTATTTTGAGGTCAAAAGGTTAAAGATCAAGATCATTATGTATTAATTTTATAACACTTGACCTTTATAAAACATGCATTTATAAGTAAGTACATATTGCACTGTGACATGTACTATGAACACATTTCTAGTTTGGACTTGTTAGTTAATTCTTGTAAGGTTGGCTAGTACTAGACTTTGTTTGCATATTAGAAGTGTTCTACATTTATTTGTGAAATTAATCACTTACAGTAACAAGAGATGATAATTAAAGTGTAGACTGCATTACAATAGCCTACAAGTAAAATAAATAAATGCTAATAATGCTGATAAATGCTGAAGAGCATCTATAAGGCTCTAGATTCATATCATTATACTGTATATGGGCATTATAGATTACAGTGATTAGTTAGTGCTGTAAAGTGTATCAAAATACTAGTTGCATGGAAAAAAATTGCTGACATCTGAAATTTTACATTCACCTTATGTTACCAGTATACATATTATCTAAAGAATAACTGTTTCTATATTTAGCCCCTGAGATTCCAATATTTGAGCGTCGGAATTGGCTTATTCACTTACATTATGTGAGGAAGGAATATGAACAATGTAAACAGTTAATCAAAGAGCAGCTTGGAGAAAGTGGGGGGATGTGTGAATATGCTGTATATGTTCAAGGTATGTAAACACTGCAACCCTCTGACGGAATGTGTGAATATGCTGTATATGTTCAAGGTATGTAAACACTGTAACCCTCTGACGGAATGTGTGAATATGCTGTATATGTTCAAGGTATGTAAACACTATAACCCTCTGAGGGAATGTGTGAATATGCTGTATATGTTCAAGGTATGTAAACACTGTAACCCTCTGAGGGAATTTGTGGATATGCTGTATATGTTCAAGGTATGTAAACACTATAACCATCTGAGGGAATGTGTGAACATGCTGTTTATGTTCAAGGTATGTAAATACTATAACAATCGGAGGGAATTTGTGAATGTGCTATATATGTTTAAGGTATGTAAATACTATAACAATCTTAGGGAATGTGTGAATATGCTGTGTATGTTCAAGGTATGTAAATACTATAACAATCTGAGGAAATTTGTGAATGTGCTGTATATGTTCAAGGTATGTAAACACTATAACCATCTTAGGGAATGTGTGAACATGCTGTTTATGTTCAAGGTATGTAAATACTATAACAATCTGAGGGAATTTGTGAATGTGCTGTATATGTTCAAGGTATGTAAACACTTTAACCATCTTAGGGAATGTGTGAATGTGCTGTATATGTTCAAGGTATGTAAACACTATAACCATCTTAGGGAATGTGTGAATATGCTGTGTATGTTCAAGGTATGTAAATACTATAACAATCTGAGGGAATTTGTGAATGTGCTGTACATGTTCATGGTATGTAAACACTATAGTCCTGTGAGGGAATGTGTGAATATGTTGTATATGTTCAAGGTATGTAAACACTATATCAAACCCTGTGAGGGAATTTGTGAATATGCTGTATATGTTCAAGGTATGTATATATATATAAATACTATAACTGTTATAGCTGTGGGTTTTTATCATATGTCCAGCTACATGTAGGTTATGGGAGATTTTGTGGTTCAACTTAAGTGCCAGCTTATCCCAGAAAAGGGGCACATGAGGTTATCCTCTAGCAGTAAACTGGAAATTTTGAAAATAACCCAATTTAAAAAATGTAAGACATTTTGAATGAAGTTTAAATAGAAAGATTTCATTCAAAAATATCTCCTGGCTAATATGTATGGTTAAATTGACAGTAACTGTTAAGAAATAATTCAGGTAAAAGTCTGTTAGAACTTAGTTCTTATCTGAAATAAATTTTAAACCTTAGAAATGTCTACTCATATGTAAGATTGGCGTTAATGAATAACCGGGTTCATTTATTTCATTACATATTAAATCTCCTTCCCATATTTTTTCTCAGTAAAAATAATCTTATTTTGATTTGAATGAAAAGCAACTCTTTTCTACAATTGTGGGTTATTTTTCACTATTAAAAAATGATTTTGGAAAAACATAAAAAGTGAATGATAGGAAATACTGCACACATGTTATTGGTGTAGACCTACATTAAATGGAACATCGAAAATTTATTTCTGTTCCAGTCATGTTAAAAAATCTCAACAGAGATCAAATCAAAATAAGATTAGCACAAAACATCGATTTTCAATTTATTTCTGAGTAAATTTTATAATAATCTTTTGCATATCTTATTGTTTTAAAGATATACTTTGCTCAAATTTGATATCAGAAAATATTGATAATTGCTACACAGTCTCTTTGTAAATATGAAATAAACATGTTTTGACTTCACACAAAGTTTCTATGTCATGTTTAAAACTCTACACACTATAGGTGGTCACAATATGAATATATAGTGTCGTTAAAAAAACTGGCAGGGTTTTTTTTAAGAAAAGACCAACTTTACTTGTCCTATAATAGAAAAACGTGACGTCCAATACATAGTTTATTCATTATTTATTCAAATAAGACATATTCAGTAAGAATTTCATAGGTTTTAATAAATGTCTTCGATTAAAATATTTTACTAAAAGATGACCATAGTATATCTTTAAGTGAACCAGCTTATTCTATTAAGATGTTCAAATTTTATGTTTTTAGGCATTTGGACCTTTAGCTGTAAACAATAAAATAATTTATAGACATTTGATTTGTTGGATGAAATGCAGTAAAAAATCCTTTTTTGTCTCATATTTGTTACATGTAGTTTTGATTTATTTTTCAGCATTGATTTTAAGAATGGAGGGTAAAATTCAAGAATCTTTAGAGTTGTTTCAAACATGTGCCTTGCTAAACCCAAGCATTGGGGAGAACCTTAAACAAGTGGCTAGATCTTTGTAAGTGTGTACACCATTTATATATTTATTTCAAATCACCAAAGATTTCTTTGAGAGCACTGAAAAGAAAACATTAAATGAAAAGATATTTAAGATAGTTTCAGCTATAAATTGTTGATTATGTTATACAAATTTTTTATGTGTATATCAATATAACAAATAAGGAAAGTTAATGAGAGTAGCAAAAAAATGAAGAATGATGTCATTTAGGACAAAATTTTAATTTTTTATGTCTCATTTTTCTAGAGTTGATTTATAAAGCTTTGTAATTTATTTTCTAGATTTTTGTTGGCAAGACATAAAGCAGCTATAGATGTGTACAATGAGGCTGAGAAACTGAGTGTCAATGACTGGGTAAGTATGGTCTGTCCGATAATATCAGACAATTGCACAATCCCTAGTAATTGTTGCTATGCCTCACAAGCTTATGGCCAATGGAGCGGACGCCGATAATACAGCAACTGGCTCGCTTGATAATATTCCGTCAAATATATCAATATTTTTCTGTCGAAGTTTACTTCTTTAAGTGACAGAATACTTTATAAAGTTCTAATTAATTCAGTCAAGCTTTTATCAGAAACTATGAAATTTTATACCAAAATAAATATAAAATAAACTAGACAATAAATCTTGTCAAGATGCTGAGTGTCATTGTGGAAATCTGAACATTTATCACACATCACTGATGATCTGATATTGTGTCTTATTGAAAAAGTGTAAAATTGGGTACATGTATTGAAGACAGTTGTTATAAATAAATGATATACTAGTATATAAGAATCCTACTTACAGCATACAGTAGAAACTGTGTTTTAGGAGATTAACAAGTCTTATTCTACCTACAGTTTTCAGAATGTCGATGCTAACAATTTGTCTAATTATATTGCAGGAAATTTGCCACAATAAAGGTGTTTGTTACATGTATCTGAAAGAAATGGATAAGGTAAGATGTTTTCTAATGGGAGATAACACTGTCAAATCTTGGTTTATTGTTATTATTTGGCTTTCTTTGACTGTAAACAATATATATGTATTTTATCTTTCTTGTATAATTTACTGAACTTCCTTGTGAAATTATTAACTGTTGCTATGTTAAATATAGTTGGGACAAAATTATTCATCATATTAGGTCAAATTTCAAAATATTTACTGACTAATTATTGATCATTGCAGACCATGATCAGATGACACTGATGTGCCAGCTGATCTTAGTCTGCATTCATTGCATGGGTAGAATCTGCCTCAAACGCCCCCCACGGGCCCATTCCCCACCATAGCAGACTAAGGATTATATTATAAATGGTAAAAATAAATTAAAAGACTGTAGACTTGCCTTTTACCATTATTGGTTTGAATCTCTTCAAAGTTATTAAATATTTTTAAGTAAGAAAGCTATCATAGCTTACACAATGTCATTTATTCTACCTATGTGCTAGTCCACTGAGGTCAAAAATCCTAAAAACATAAAATTTAAATTCTTACATAGGTCATGTGAAGCACTTAAAATGGAATCATCTGCAAAGAATGATAAAGAAATATGCTCAGAATTTAATTAAACATTTATTTTGTGCGCGATACTTAACAATGCTTTGCAGTTTCAGGTTGTTTTGCATAATGAATTATGATTATAGAAAAAAGGGGAGAGGGAATGATATGAAAATTTGCACAAAAGTTATTTATTTAGACATACATCAAATGGTACACAAATATTGGAAACATTTTTCCACTTCTGTGATGTTAAAAAACCCTCAGTGAAGTCCCTTTAAGGGACACCTCATGTCTTCATTTAAAAAGAAATTATGCTTGTAGACTATATCATTGTTAGAGAGATTGAAGCCTTACCCAAATGAAAACATTTTATATTTCAGGCGAAGGAATGTTTACAGCGAGCTATAGGGTTTAAGAGGCACGAGATATCGTATGTTATGTTAGGCAAGGTATATCTCATCAATAGTGATATACAAGGAGCTATTGAAGTATACAAGGGGGCAGTAGAGTAAGTTCTTATGTATATATTTGAATTGTTTTCATATAAGGTTAGATAAAATCACCACAAATGTTTAATGACTTTACTCAATGTCTGTTGTCATATTTTGAGGTTTGAATCATTTGAATAATTTAGATTCTTTCTTGTGAGGTAGCCATTCATCTGGCATCCTGCTGATGGTTTGTGGTTTTATTCAGGTCTCAACATGAACCAGCGTTGCTTGAAATAATTTTTACATTTTTTTGAATATTGATACATTATTAAAGGGACTCCACTGAGGTTTTTTGACATAATGGAACTGAAAATAATATTTCCAGATAAATGTACCCTTTGATGTAGGCTTAAACCAGTAATTTTTGTGCAAGATTTCAGATCATTTGTGCACTTCGTTTTTCCAGAATAATTTTTTAAATTGTGAAAAATAGAACAAAATGAAAAGCGTTTAAACGCTTTTCACTCAAAAAAGGGCTAAGAAAAGCATAAAAATACGATTTTCAATTTATTTCAACATATATTTCTTAACTATCTTTGCATATATTTCTGTTTAAAGTGCCCCAGCTCATTTATGTAAGAAATTCAAATGTTATGTTTTTTAGGCTTTTAAACCTCAGTGGAGTCCCTTTAAAGTTGGAAAGTCACTGTATTAAGTTTATTGGATTGTTTTAAATAAAATTTATGATTAAGATACAGAAGGTTTTGTTGGAGAACTCTGGAAACAAAATACTGATCAGTCAATTTCATCATAAACACATCAATAATGGTACTTGAAATATACATTTTGTAATATAAATCAGGTATATATACAATTTACAATCTGATGTGTAAAACAAGAAATGTATTTATTTCCAGATTTTCACCTGAGCATCCAGATATGTTAACAACCCTTGGACTTCTTTACATGCAGGTTTGTTATTCGTACAATAATTTTGCCTTATTGGGAAATAGTTTAAGTATTTGCCTTGAAAGCCATACAAAAAAAGAAACAAAAATGTAGTGATTTTTAAGAAATAATATTTGTCTCAGCAGTGTTTAATAGCTATTCAAATAATTAATTCACTATGATACTAGAACAAAATCTTGCAATTTTATTAATTGTAATAATGATTGAAAAAAGTTGTTATTACTTTTAAATTCTCAAGGTACTGGCATGGATGATCTGAATTTTTGCATACAAGTTATTGTTCTAGATCTATATCAAATGGTACATAACTCTCAAAAAAAAATTGCCAGTTTCGTCATGACAGAAAACCCAGGTAGAGTCCCTTTAATAGAAAAGTTCTGATTTCAGCCATAGTTGTTTATTATAATTGTTTCAGGTTGGACAGTATCAGAAAGCCTTTGAGAATCTAGGTAATGCTATGACCTATGACCCCAGTCATGTGAAGGCCATCATGGCTGCAGGAAGTATGATGCAAAGTCACGGAGATTTCGATGTTGCTCTCACCAAGTACCGTGTGGCGGCCGTAAGTTCACCTGAGAGTCCCCCACTGTGGAACAATATTGGAATGTGCTTCTTTGGAAAGAAAAAATATGTAGCTGTAAGTAAATGATTGTTTATGTAAAAGAAAAATTATTATATAAAAAAAAAACAATAAATCTTGTGGGACTGTAAAGACAATTGACAATGAAATTTCTTTTTCGCAGCCTAAGGCCCATTAAAGCCTTAGAAATAATTATAATTTTCCTCTCACAAAAAGGCAAAAACACAATTTATATTATTATAATGATGGGTTTAGAAAACGTAAGATGTTTTATCACATAAAGAATGTAGCCCTGAATGAGAAATAATTTTTCATAAAGTAGTAAATCATTAACAAAATTGTATTATGACTTCCTCACAAAACTAAATTACTCTCATATAGCTTATGTCGAGAGTAAATCAATTATTCTGTAATCTACTGTAGCAAGAAACAACAACAAATACATAGGAATAACGCTTAATATTTGGTAGTACATATTACAAATCAATAGAATCAATCGGTATTTATCTGTATCTGTTATGTTCTTGTTTTTGGGATTCATCAGATGTATAGCATTGTTGTTGTATCCGAAACTCTGAAACGAAAACTAAAACAGATCTGAATACATGGTTACAAAATATTTCAAATAGAGTAATATTGTGTAATCTGTAAAATATTTAATAACAAGTTATGTTCATTAAAACAAAGAAAATTCATTAAATTACAATGTATGCAACTTTAAAAAGTTATATTTCAAGAAACGATTCTTGTGTGTCATGTGAATAATAATGTAAAAAGCCTAAATATTCGGCAAGAATATGTATTAAAATATTTTATTACAAAAACGGTTGTTGTAAGAAGGGATGGGGTCGGGTGGGGTGTATTTAAACAAGTTCTTGATGCACTACCAAATGCAAGCGTGGAGTGAAGAAAAACTGCGAAAACACAATATATATACCCCACTAACCCACGAAATACAGGTGCAACGTTAAAAGAAAATATTTAAGGTATCACTCCATGAAACCATACATAAACGCACATTCAAGCTATATCCGATACGAGAATAATTTCATTTCCTATTACTTAACTAATGGCCGAAACATTAAAAAAGCATATGATGGTTTGTCTATTATGGCTTATAAGTACCAATATGGAAACTGAAAATAAAAGTTTTATCAAATAATAAAAAGGCAAATTAGAGGCTTAATGGGCTTAACGGACAAATTTACATGCTGATAGAAAAAAGTTATAACAATAATCAATTACAACTTTTGATGTCTATAATTATCATTCTTCTTACAGGCAATCAGTTGTTTGAAGCGAGCAAATTACCTGGCACCGTTTGATTGGAAGATATTATATAATCTAGGACTTGTTCATCTGACAATGCAGCAGTATGCCTCCTCTTTCCACTTCCTGAGTGCCGCCATTAACCTTCGACCTAAAATGGCTCAACTATTTATGCTCCTTGCTGGTATGTGTAATTGTATTATGTAAACTTGACAACAAAAAATAATTTTAAATTTTATTTCATACTAGATTTAATTAGAAGGTAGAAGGAACAAAATAAAGTGCATGCATGAATGTGTGTGTGCATGTATGTTTTTAAAAAACAAAATAATGGGAGAAAAGGAAATTAAAATTTGTAATTAATGCAGCAATATTGAACATCTAGTTCTCTCACACTTTATTTAAGGATGGTACATTGTACATATGTATTTGACAACTTCTTCATTAAAAATGGTTTAAATTATTATGGTAGTAATTATTTCATTTTAATATTCAACTTGATGTCCTGAAGCTTTATGCATGTTGACTGATTCAGTTTATGTTTTTGCTGCAAACTACTTGAATTTACAACTTCTGTCTTATTCAGTTACAGTTGTAGTTACTTGTTAGTATGTTGAGCATCTATAAATTATAGATTGTGCATGTATATGGTTTATTGGTAATTGTTAGTGTAATTTATCACATACCTGTGCTGCTTTTACATCTCTGTAAACATTGTATTGCACAGTTGTGTATATATTTTGACATGATATCTTTTGTGTTATACAAACAAATCATAAAGAGGCACTACATGTTAACATAACACGTTAGGCATGTCAATGAAAAAAATTATTCTTTTTCACTTTAAACAGTCTTTATTTTGGGTATGTGATAAATAGAATACTATATTAGCGTAGGTTCATCATTGAATTTATTGAATTTGAATAAAAAAATATCATGCTCGCCAGAGGCTCGTGGATCACATAATACAAATTTATTCTACTTGTTTAATAAATTCAGTATTGAACTTACATTCATTGAATATCCGATATATAATATACATCCAATGTTGTATATTTATAGTATCATTAACACACCTTGAAGATGCCGACAATGCTAGACAGGCCTACGAACAAGCTTTACAGATAGATGAGTAAGTTCATTATTAACTTGTTATCAGGATGAAAACTTTAATGTTATATTTGTATTACCACTTGTTTAATGTTTTGCATGCAGTTAAATATTTCAATGACCACTGGGGATATTCACTTTATATTTCTCGCACAAGTATATGGGATCAAAATTGAAGGTCGCTTAGATCCAGAATGTCATCAAATCTTATCAGTGAAGTTAGTGAATTAAACAAATTCAGAGAAACTTTGGATCATTATCGAACACATAAATATAGAATAAATTTTTAATGAATATTCCTTTTTGTGAACCTTAACATATCCTGTGTGGCCATATTTTATTATGAAAGACTGAGAAAAGTTAAATAAACCGTTAGATATTTTAATATCTAAAAGCATAAGAAAACAATTAGATGTTCAGTAAGAATGAAAGTCTCACAATTTGTTTGATGTACATTACAATTTTAGAAGTCATTATATTATAATGTAAACTATATTTTTATATTTCCAGCAAGGACCCAATGATTTCCCTCAATTACTCTGTGTTCCTATATAATAACAATGACAGAAAAATGTCTCAGAAACAATTTGCAAAGTTTGAATCAAAAGTGAAAGGACTAAAGGGCAATGCCAACCCTTTGAATACAGATCCTGAGGTAAGTTTTATTTCATATCAGAATATTATATGAAAATTATATATAAGATATTTTTACTACACACTCTGTTATCACAGTCATGTTAAATGTTGTTCAGGTAACTTTCATCTAGTTTTTAGCTCACCTGAGCTTGCTCAGGGTGAGCTTTTAGGATCGATGAATGTCCGTCGTCCGTCCGGCCGTCCACAATTGCTTGTGAACACTCTAGCGGTCGCATTTTTGCCTCAATCATCATCAAACTTGGTCAGGATGCTTATCTAGTTGAAAGCTCGGATGAGTTCGAACATGGGTCATCTCAGAATGAAAAACTAGGTCACAAGAGCTAAAAATAGAAAAACCTTGTGAACACTCTAGAGGTCACATTTTTGACCCAATCTTCATCAAACTTGGTCAGGATGTTTGTCTAGGTGATAGCTCGGATGAGTTCGAACATGGGTCATCTCGGATGAAAAAGTAGGTCACAGGAGCTATAAATAGAAAAACCTTGTGAACACTCTAGTGGTCACATTTTTGAACCAATCATCATCAAACTTGGTCAGAATGCTTGTCTAGTCAATTGCTTGGATGAGTTCGAACATGGGTCATCTCTGATGAAAAACTAGGTCACAGGAGCTAAAAATAGAAAAACCTTGTGACCACTCTAGTGGTCACATTTTTGACCCAATCATCATCAAACTTTGTCAGGATGCTTGTTTAGATAATAGCTCGGATGAGTTCGAATATGGGTCATCTCGGATGAAAAACTAGGTCACCGGAGCTATAAATAGAAAAACCTTGTTAACACTCTAGCGGTCACATTTTTGCATCAATCATCATCAAACTTGGTCAGGATGCTTATCTAGTTGATAGCTTGGATGAGTTTGAACATGGGTCATCTCGGATGAAAAAGTAGGTCACCGGAGCTAAAAATAGAAAAACCTTGTGACCACTCTAGCGGTCACATTTTTGCATCAATCATCATCAAACTTGATCAAGATGCTTGTCTAGGTAATAACTCGGATGAGTTCGAACATGGGTCATCTCGGATGAAAAACTAGGTCACAGGAGCTAAAAATAGAAAAACCTTGTTAACACTCTAGTGGTCACAATTTTGACTCAATTGTCATCAAACTTGGTCAGGAAACTTGTCTAGGTCATTGCTGGGAATAAATCGAACATGGGACATCTCGGATGAAAAACTAGGTCACAGGAGCTAAAAATAGAAAAATCTTGTTAACACTCTAGTGGCTACTGTTGTGATCCAAATATTCTGTTAATTGGTCTGAAAGTTTGTTTTTTGATGATTTCTAAGTCAAGATCGAACATGGGTCATCTTGGATGAAAAACTAGGTCACACCGCCCAAATATGGAAAAACCTTGTTAACATTCTAGTGGTCACATTTTCGACTCCATTATCATCAAACTTGTCAGAATGCTTGTCTAGGTAATTGCTTGGATGAGTTCGAAATCGCATGTGAAACTAGGTCACCGGAGCTAAAAATAGAAAAATCTTGTTAACACTCTAGTTGCTACTGTTTTGATCCAAGTATCCTGGAAATTGGTCTGAAAGTTTGTTTTGATGATTTCTAGGTCAAGTTTGAATATGTGTCACCTGGGTAAAAAACTAGGTCGCACTGCTCAAATATGGATAATCCTTGTTAACACTGTAGTGGTCACATTTTTGACTCACCTGTCATGAGACTTGGTCAGAATGCTTGTCTAGGTAATTGTTTGGATGAGTTTGATAATTCAGGTGAGCGATCTAGGGCCATCATGGCCCTCTTGTTTTTATAGCGGTTGACTCTTTTTGCTGTAAGGGTTTATGTTCATGTTATTTATGTAACTTAATCTCAGTAGCACTCTAATTAAGGTTTGGGAATTATATAATTCAATAATTATTTACTTTACACAGGTTCAAGAGATTGCTAGCAAAATGGCCGCCGCTCTTCAGGTAGGAGATAGTTTAGTATGGAAGGATAAACAACAAGCCGAGAATAAACCTTCAGCACCACCAGCCGAGGACGTTCACGCTAAGCAGCCAGCTAATGTGAAGGAACCGGAACCTTACAGATCTGGAGTAGGTCCAAGTCCAGCACCAGGTACTTTGAGCCGTGCAGCAACATCCACCGGTGTCGAAGCAGATATTCCACCAACTCCAGATATATCACAAACACCGGTTCCAGGTTTCCGGGCAAACAGAGACGAAATCCCAGAAACACCTTTACCGAACCTACCACCGGGAGAAGAGCCAGATCAACCACCACCGACTCCAACTTTCCACCCTCCACCTGGAGAACCTATGCTTCAGAAGAAAGCTGGGGATTTATCCTCACTGCCTACTCCATTTGGAAGGACCATTCCTCCGTTACCATTCAAACTTGGTGGCGGAAAGTTACCACCAGTTCAAGGTCAAGGTCAAGCTCCACCAGACCTTGACAATCTTCCAAGTCCTCCACAAGATGAATTACCATCTTACGAGGAGGTGGAGATGGCAGATAAACTTTCTGGAAAAAAGAAAAAGAAATCCAAAGAACCTGTTCCAGAACTTGAAGCATTGTAGTGAAATGTAAAACCTGTCAGTCACATGGCAGATTATTTGTAATGACAGCCAGAAACTTGTGAATTCAATGAATAATGTTAGCTTACTTCTCATGCTTTAGCCTTAATTGTTCAATGAGTAATTTACATGAATAATTGTCTTTTTACATAAATATCTTACATGAATGATTGGCTGTTTCCATAGATAATGAGTAATTTACATGAATATTTGTCTGTTTACATACATGAATGATTGACTGTTTCCATAGGTAATGACTAATTTGAATGAATAATTGTAAACAATTGTCTGTTTACATAAATATCTTACATGAATGATGGTTTTTTCCATAGATAATGAGTAATTTACATGAATAATTGTCTGTTTACATAAATATCTTATATGAATGATTGGGTGTTCTCATAGAGTGTGAGTAATTAACATGAATAATCGTCTGTTTACATAGATAATTAGTAATTTACATGACTAATTGGCTATTTACATTATCAGATGTAGCATACATGTATAAGATAAGATGTGACTGTCATTTCAGTGTTTTTACATGGGATTTATTTATTTACTATTAATTACCACATGATTTTTGTTTGTTTTTATTAGCATCGGGAAATCAGTGAAGCACAAAGTGTTAATAACTTTATTAAACTTTTTTCGACTATACTTAGGTTTGTTTTTTAAACAGATTTACAAGATCTTAATATTGGCAGCAAAAAATGCCACTAGTATATATAAAGGTAGAACTGAACTTTAAGTATAGGTCGTCCATATAATTATCCCTAAATATAACTGTAGATTGTCATAAATTTAAAGCTGGACCAGTTCCTAGCTTTTGTAAATCATTGAAAGAAAAGTTAATCTGAATTCTTATAGAATTAAACAGAATAGACAATGAGAAAACACTGGAAAAAAAACAAGTGAATGATATTTCATTCCTTCCAAATCTATTTGAAAGACCCTGGGAAATTGTACTCTTGAATTTAAATGTTTCTAACAGAATCTCTTTACCTGATTTGATTTACATGTGATCTGTAATATTTTTCCTCAGTTTATTAATTCTTTAATGTAGGCAGTGATCATGATAAGCATCGGCACCGGTATGGTATACACCCATTCCAATTGTCTAAGCATGATTTATACCAACACCTGCATTATTGTAGTGAAATAATCTGTTATTGTTAATCTGATCCAAATTTAATTTTATAAGCATTTGTTGTAACAAAAAAACTATTAAATTGATATTGATGTGGAATATGTTTTAAAGACGGTATTTTATATTTTGCTCAGTAGAATGAATAGTTTTATCTTGTGTATATTTACCTTGTATTATTTATATGATATACATGTATTTATTGATTGTCCCAGAGTCTATGACAAGTGTTCCGTCCATATTTTTTCTAATTTGTATTTACACCTTTCATTTTTTTTGTGATGTTTTTTTTTGTGTTGTTTTTTTGTGTGTTCCTTTGTAAGTTATCAACACATCATCATTTCTGTATACACTGTTAAGTTTATATGTGGACTAGGCTTAATGATAATGATTTTATTTTTACATTGGTGACCGTAAATTATACAGTAAAATCAGTTCAGATACCTTATAAATATTATACCTTATAAACGTTAACTTTATTTATTTACAGTAATATACTACAAGTGACAAGATGTACATTATTGTTAGCTAAAAATAAAAAAACTAACTTCTTTACCTAACATACTGTATTTTACATTTATATTTTCAGTCCCTTTGCATACTTACATTCCAAAGGATTATTTTAAAGAAACTTATGTGCACCATGGTTGTATAGCATGTATTTAAACAAATAACAACGAATTTTAAAGGCCCATTATGCCCCTGAAATAACTTATGACTTTTATTTTTTTAAGCTTTTTATTTTTGATGAACGTTTTTTCCACAAAAAGCTAATCATTGGCCAATTACATGAACCATCGTTTCCCTCCTGTTGCTTTTATAGTGATTAAGTATTTTGTATGGAAGTCAAAATACTACTTTGTTTACATTTTGCTACTTAAATGACAAATTATTTCACATTTTAGAGCTACTTTCTTCAGGTAACAAGTATCTTACATGCCCTAAAACCATAATTTAAACATTATAAAATTCATATTTGCTCTTTCTAAAGTAAAAATTTATTGGTTTCTGAAGCATAATGTGCCTTTAATATAAAAAAAAGTTTATTCATGATTTATTATTTATCTTTGTCTTGAAAAGTTCAGTTTTTAAAAGAGTATAAAATATAGGCAACCTATTCATGACTGAGGGTTTTGTTTAAATATACTATATAAATCATGATTGATAGCTTAATACAATATTTTGTTTATCTATGGCTTATGTCATCAAATGTTCATGAGTTGTTGAAAAGGAGTATTAGTTTTAACATATGTATATATGATATAAAAGATAGATTGTTAAACAGATTTTTTGCAACTTATATAAACCTTGTATATTTTTGCTTCCTGGAATTTACCGGTATCAGGAGACATACGAGGACTCCTGGTTGTGGCCATGAACCCAACACCTTCACCACGAGGGCACCTTCTCCCATTCTGAGTACTAGTGATTAAATGTATATTTTATAAATGGGGTATATATGTTACATATAGTCAGTCAGACTCATCATCATGTAGCAATATTTCATTATTACACTCTTTTAAACAAAGAAATCAAGGCATTATATATGTGTTTTCATATGATGATAATTTTATATCCCGTTTTAGTGATTTGTACTTTGTTAAGCTATACATTTCTCCATTTCATATTGTAATATGAGGCCCCTGTCTATATATATCTGATTCATAATAACTGATATAAAGGCTCTTTGAGGGCCTACATGTTCTGTCAGTACTTGTGTGTTAAACTTTATTATTCTCTAAATGAAATGCAGATTGTATTACGGTCAGACTATCGTATTAACATGGCTAGCGTTGGGCTGGGAAAAAACAGCAGGGAAAACTGTAAGAATATATGGCATAAGTTGATTGGATAAAAGTATGAAGTTTTTAGTGGATGAAATAAGATGTTTTTAGTGGTTTTCTTAAGAAATTGAATTATTTCATAAGTCTCTAGGATAACTTGTGACTTGGATATATGCATTCTATAAAAAAAAGTGTGTGTCAGTCCTGTGATCAGCAAAAAATTCAGTGAAAATGGGGATAATCTTTTTGCAAAAAAATCGTTGGTTACCCCTATGTAACAAGAACATTTTTATGTGTCCAGCATTTCATTCTTCTTGGGGGGAAAACACATCTTTTGAATGAAAACTCAATTTGAAGGTAGGATTGGAGACCATTTCTCATAATGTAAGTCTATCGGAAAATCAATACGATAGTCTGATCTAAAGAGGGAATGTGATTAATGGTGACCGTGCATTTCGTAGGCATTTAGGGTAGAGTAGGTTACGGTATGTGCACTATAGTTGAAGTGTGTAATATTGAGATAATTAGTGTAGAAGTGAAAGGTTTGACTGCTGTTTGTTTTGATTACACTTGAAGAGGTTTGTTCACACTTGTGAGATAAAATTCAGTAATATCTTTTCCTTTAGATATTGATTATATATTATAATGTGAAAAATGACATGATTTGATGATAAGTGCAGAATATATGTAATTGTAAATCATTGCTTGCACACTGCTTCTTACAAAGTTCATCCAAAATACCATTATGTATATTAAAACAGAACCTGAAGATAAATTATGCCAAAAGGAAGTACACCGTAAAACAGCCGGGGAAAACGAAAAAAAAGCTATTTTTTCATTATATTAAACTTACATGGTAATGAATTTATCATGCTTTCAATCTATTATCAGTATGTATGCATCTTAAGGTATAAGTGTTGAATAGCTTGAAGAAAAAAATGTTAAGGTTCTGATGGTTAAAGATGTTTAGTCCTTGAAAAAATCTTAAACTTTTATGGTTATTTGCCATAAGAAATCCACAATAAGGTGGTGTCTGGACTGTAACATCAGTAATGTTTTGCTGTGACTCTTATATCCGACTGGTTGAATTACTTACCTGTGTCAAGTTACGAATTATTACCTAAGGTGCATAATATATATTGTTTTACAAAAACTTGTGTGGTCATTTATATAAACATTATTTTCTGTATAAGTTAGTGTATTTATTATTTTTTGTCTGTGATACACCATGATTTTGCTGCATACCATGTGAAATAAACTAAAAATCATTTAGTGTGGTTTTTGTTGTGTGTAAAAAAAACACGGTACAATATTTCAACTTCTGCAGAAATGTTTAATTTTAGTTAAAGCATTGTCTTTTTAAACAGTTTGGACTGCGATATTTGTACGCATGTTAGTTACAGGAAGTCACCTTGGACTCCGAGGGATCTGTTTTAAAGTGGTCACTTTATTGAATATTGATCTATGAGGTAATGATGCACGAAATAACAATTTGGGTTGTTAGACAGTGGTAGTGTGGTTATTGGACTTTAAATCCAACCATGCCTGTAATTAAACCCGTGTTCCAACCAAAAAGGGACACAAACTATCTTGTTCCGGTTTTATTTCGACTATATTCTCAATAAATATTTACATTTTTATTGTAACAAATCGCAAAATCAGTACATAATGTATATATAGCAATTCTCATTGAACTTAACGAATACATTCCGCACTTTTTGCACGAAGGTTAAGTGCTTAAATCGAAATGATTACCCGTCAATTAAAACTCAAAAGTCATGTCCTCTAGAAAATTAGCCGCTTTTAACATTCAGCGTCAAAAAGAAAACATTTTCTTTTAATTAGTTCCATTATTTCTTTAAACATTGTCCGAGTCAGGCACAACAAATATTGCTATATGAATAAAACAAGTTTAGTACAATCATTACCGTTACGCCGTGATTTATAAACATTCATATTCCACTAATAGTATTTACGTTGACACGAGTGTTTGAAATAAACGGAATAAAAGAAATCTAATATTACATTTAAAGAAATGTTTGTGTATGTATATAAATGGAATATACACAAAGTGGGAAATAATTGTTCTGATTTTACGTAGTCCGGGTTATGTGGACGCTTCCCGTACACGAGACGCATTGATTTATTAGATATATATGAAAGATAAACGAGGAGATTTAAAAGTGGAAAGATGATTAAAAGCGATTAACGCGTGTCTTGTGTAGATATATCCTTTTTCTCTCTCTTTTTTGAGTAAAAAATAAGATTAAATAACTGGGGGACAATGTACTTACTTGTTATTTCATGTTGCTATAATCGCTTTAATTCGCAATAAACTGTTGTAATAATTTAAATGGAATATAATTTTATATGAAATATTACTGAAAATAACGGATTATGAACAGACATGTTAGATTAGTTTAAGAATTGTTTTGTAATATTATCATTATTATTCGGCTGATATGGGATACATGTTCAGTTTGTGACAATATTTTGGAATTACAAAAAGGAACACAATTGTTAGCTAATAAAGTAGTATGAAGTAAACAGGACTATATGAGTGTAAACGGGGTTAATTATATATTGCCATTCGGAATCAAATGGCAGGTAATGTATCAATTTATATAATATTACAACCTTTAAAATATTTTCGCTATTAAAGTGATACTTTTTAAATGTTAAAACAGATAAGGTCAGTACACCAAGCTCAGACAGTTTTACTCTGATACAATTATAGAAACGAATGTCTGTTTACAGAAGAGAATGTCTTTAACAACATGTACATTTTTATAACGTATGTTTATTTGTATCTTTTGTACTACAAAATGTATATACAATGACTCTCTGTGGCAAAAATATACCAAATGAAATATCCACATTGCATTTAATATTACAGTAGGATTTGATAAAAATTTGCAACGATTAAGGTGTAGAATAATATATGCATTAGTCCTGCCCATAGCATTCAGTTAACAGTAAAAAAGTAGTTTATTTCAATTTTCCGAAGTGTTCTGTTCATTTTTTTAAATAATGTCTATCTTTTCTGTTCACTAAGCAAAATTCGTACAAAATAAGTAACTGATAAATGTTATATATAATGTACAATGTATTTTTGCACAAGTATTTGCATGTCAGGCGCTGATCCAAAACGTATTCATGCCAATGCTATTTAAATAATATCTCTGAATAAAACGTGAGTCTGTTTAGAAAATTAACTATCAAGAAAAAAATCATCCTATTTATACTGACTAAAATAATAATATAACAGTTCCCAATAGCAGACGAAAATAAATAAAAGCAGACGACTTAAGAAAATACTTCTAATACGACAAATTGTTATAAAGATTTAATACTGTTTAAGACTGCGGATCAAATTACATCTATTGCATTCAAGATCTACGGACACAAAAGCATACGATAAAGAAAAAAAGTTTTTTATGTATTTTGTTTGATTGATACAAAGCAGTTATTTGATAGTGAATATAGCATTAATATAACTGATATACATAAAATCATTATTATTGAAAAAAAACCAAACATATTTGATCTTTTTAAACATGTTTAAAGTGGGCAAAGTAAGGTGTGTTGCAGACACAAACTGGCAAAAGGGTATAAGTAAAGGGTTTGCTCGACGGCATGCCTGTAGAACCCATCCGATCATTTACAAAAAATTTGTTTTTAAAAAGTCAAAAACAGCTATTTCTACAACAACAAACTTGTAAATCAACAAACAAACAAAAAAGACTCCTCGTCAAAACCCTTGGAACCATTGGTGCTATCGGGAGTTTCATGGTCATAATGTCAGATTTTCAATATTCACAAGTTCAGTTCCTCGGAAAATTTTAAAGGGACTCCACTGAGGTTTTTTGACATGGTAGGACTGAAAATAAATTTTCGAAATTAATGTTCAATTTGATGTAGGTCTACATCAATAACTTGTGTGCAAAATTTCATGCCATTCGCGCTCACTCCGTTTTCCAGCATAATCATTGTAACTGGGGAAAAATGACCAAAAATTGAAAAACGTTGCAACGCTTTTTGTCCATAATCGGACTAAGAATGGCACAAAGAATACGATTTTAATGATTTTCAATTTAATTCTAAATATATCTTTTATTATCTTTGGCGTATCTGTCTTTTTAAAGTGCCCAAGCTGGTCTATTCTGCATTCTGAAGCATTATGTGCCTTTAAGTGCATAGAAGACACGGAGCAGACAAACTAAGAAAATTTGTCTAATGAGTTATGCATATTTCTTTGTTTGTTTGTTTGTTTCATTTTACGCCTTTTCCCAACAGTATTTCAGTCATTTAGGCGGGTAGTTTCCTAACCATCGTTCCTGAAGAGTTACACCAGTACTAGACTACCTTCCTCCGCGCTAAACTACCAAAGCATCTCCCGGGGATCCAACCCACGCCAAAGAGGTAACTGGATGTGAAGTCATCGACTTTAACCCCTCGACCAGTTATGCATATAAAATGCATGAAATACTGTAAATCATATTGTCTTTATTAGTCTTTATATCCGTATTCAAGCCTGGTTCCTATCACGTCCAGTGCACAGCATATTATGTACATAAATGAACAGAAGCAGACGACATCATAATATACATGTAGTTTAAATTAATGAATTAATCGATCTAGTACAAATATGTACTTATAAAATACCATCAAAACGCGTGCTACATTGTAATCAAATCAGGGGGAATTATTACCAAAATATAAGAAACATATACTTTAAACTTATTGATAAAGTAACTTATATACTGATCATAACAAAGCGGTTAGGAGGTAATGAGTGCTACATGCAAGATTTTAACGGCTGATTAAAAGAATGCAACAATCTACTAATGGCTCTTTTGATCTTTTGTTCAAACTAACTATATCAGTTAGTGATCCATATGCCGCTACAGGAAACTTGAAAGATCGACTTGATCCCCGTTAGAACAATAAAAAGCATATCAAACTAGTTTTTAATTGAAGTATATACCTATGTCCGTGACTGATTTCTAACAAAGAAACATCAACGTTTGACTGAGTGTTGAAACAGTCTGCCATTGTTACTATTGAACAGTAGTAGCATACGCGCTTCTGGTCCGAGAGCTACATGTTGCAAGGTTCGAGCCCAGTTGAAGACACAATAAATTCCAGTGGGAAAGACGGTTAACTCTTTTCCATTACTGCAGTGTAAATGAGTACATGAGATGGGGACAAATGCGATGATACAATGTAGAACTGGATTGGTGAACATCTTAGCTTCAACACTAACTTTAATTTATACACTGTCAAAAAACACAAATAGTGCTTTAAAATGTCACGCCGGACTAAAACAATTGAAGAGAGTCTTATCATATTTGTTCACGTATAAATATATACAGTAAAATGTATATTATTGAAACGTGATGAATATATATATAATCAGAAAATGTAAAAAAAAATTCTAGATACAATATTTGTTCACGAAGTGATTAAAAAAGTTATCCTGGTAAAGAAATAGATTTATTTACATCATGATTATACACGGCAATTGTCAGCCCTAATTGTTACAACATTACCATTGCCTTATAAAGTGGGAGGCACGAACGAACACACGGATTGTCATGGAGTGAAAATGGTCATAAAGTTTAACTACAGTTTTTAGATATACCTGATTTATAGCTCAGTTTATTTTTATAGGTCAAATGCACGTGCAAGTTTTACATCATATAGTTGAATACAGGAAAAAATCAATCAATCTATATTATGTATCTACAGAATATGTCTATTTATAGGTTGTCAGGTGTTCCAACACTACTTCGTGAACTCAAGTATTATAATTATAATAGTATATAAATTAAACTTAAATTACATAAGAATGCATGTAATACCCAAACGGTGTTTCCTCGAAAGTAAATATAATCAAAATAGAAAGCTAGCCACTTCAAACCCTAAAGTGAAAAAATAATGAATACCCGAATCTGAAAGGCTTTCACACCTTTGTTGTGATATTTACCTTGGATATGTCGAATAACATAAAAATTTGTTTGTTTTTTCCAAGTGGTAATATTTCAAATATTTAGATAAATAGACGTAATAGCAAAATCGTCTTAAAAGGGTGATATTGGTATATAATATATACACTTAAATGTACCGTAAATATACAAAAGAAAGGCATTCTTAGATTTACCTTTCAAACTTCACGTTTTGTTAGTTCACTTAAATGTATTAAATGTTTCGTTGAATAAACAAGTCACACTGAAAAACCCTTTTAGATATCTTATATTTTCTCTATAAAAAGCACTTAATTTTATAGTCGAAAAGAAGTATCCAAAAATATTTTCATTATAATATTTACAATCGATATCAATTTGTTATAGATATATTTATAATGTAATCTTTGTAAAATTCTAATTGAAATTTTGATCAGATAATCTTCGCATCAATCTATGTTATCAGCCATGTTTGCGTGTATTATAAAAACTACCAGTTAATTGTGTTAAATATATAAATTATTCATGATTTTCTGTTATAAAATAGATTTTGATGAAGATGAATTTCATTGATTGTAGTGGTAAGTCATGCAATGTCAGACAGCAATTTTTTATTCTATAGTATAACCGACGAAAGGTCAAGATGATCTTGTATAGTTAACATATGGTATTATATATCGTGTATTGTAACGTGAAGTAGTTAGTCCAAACAGAAGCCCAGTTTCGTGTATATTTTGTTAATTATAAAAGTATATTAAATGGAAAGCCATACTGCCATGTTTAACGGCGATTGCTGAATTTTCATTGCTGCACGAAGAATTTAAAAAAACTATGAAAAAGACCGAGTGTTCCAAAAGACAATTGCTCAATGCATTTATTTATTTGTTTGTTTATTTTTTATTCATTCATTCATTCATTCATTCATTCATTCATTCATTCATTCATTCATTCATTCATTCATTCATTCATTCATTTATTGTCTCATCAATATATGCAGTAAACAATTACATAAATATTACAGTTTATTTAATATAGTACATTGCCATTCTAAAATAATTTTAAGGGACTTTTTATCAATAAAACCTGCATGAGATTTCATGAAACAGAAATATCACGATGCTTATATTTTCCTCCTTAATATACACGTACATAGGCTTAAATACCCTTGTTAATCGCTGGTTTAATCAAAGGGCTGCAAGCTCTGTGGTATTTTCTGATCTTTGGAATCTAAATCATACTGACTATCTGTATATATGTATTTTCCTATATAAGTTTATTTTTATATACTATAATTCATCTTACGCAGCGACTGCGTTAAGATTTTTTTCTATAACAGTTTGAGATGGTAATAGGACATTTCGGACCATGGACGTTTCGGACCAGACATTTCGGACCAGATTTTTGGACACTGTGGACCATATTAAGGGACATTTCGGACCAGATTTTTGGACATTTCGGACCATGTGTTGGACATTTCGGATCATGCGTTAGACACTTCGGACCACTGTTTTGGACATTTCGGACCATGTGTTGGACATTTGGGATAATTTGTGTTTTGGACATTTCGGACCAGAATAAATATCATTTTTTATATATTATGCATCAATTATTCTATAAACTAAAGTGTAATATTAGAATATATGAGACACCATGGGAAGATTTTAAACCTATCCCGATTTAGATTTTATATATTTTGCACTATAAATGAAGAAATTTAAAAAACAAACTAGCAATGTTTTAAAGACGCACGTTTGCAGACATTTTATTATGATATGATCAACTTCCATGGCTATTATTTTTTTTTCAATATTAAAACATGGTAATATAAGCTTGTCAGAAAATGTGAAAATCTCGTCGGACAGGTCATTACTGCATGCATTTTGAATATCATAAAACATAAAAATGTCAAATATTTGTTGTATTTATTATTAGAAAATATTGTAAATACATCCTGAAATAACAAATAATTACATATTAAAAGGAATATATGTTCTGGTCAGAAGTGTCCCCCTCATGGTCCGATATGTCCAAAAATCTGGTCCGAAATGACCAAAAAATCTGGTCCGAAATGTCTGGTCCGAAATGTCCATGGTCCGAAATGTCCGTAAAATTCCATATGTACCAGTCTCAAATGGTACATATGGAATTTTGCATGACTAGAGTTGCATCAAAATCATTTTTTATGACAGCCACACTTTATCCTTGCATATCGTGGCTACTTCCTTAAAAAAGACACTTCAAAAAAAAGTTGCCTCGACTAGGTTTTGAACCAAGGGCCTCTCACACCCTAAACGAGCGCGATACGAGCGCGATACCCCTGCACCACGGTGAAGTTATACGTAATATGTAGCCTGAATAAAAACAAATACATTGTAATTCTAAATTGAGAATTTCCATTTCGTGTTTGTAATCCTTATCAATTTCGAGGTATTTTGTTCACGATAAACCTGTTTAACACTGATAAAAATAACTTAGCCAAAACAGTCCGACATGTATATATTCCACTACTCGGTAGTCAGATTTATTTGTGTACTACGCCCTGGAGTATTCAGTAATCAACATAGCTAAAAATAGCATTTTCATTGATTAAAATGATATTCATCCGCGAAATTTGTGATTGTAACCTCATATTTCTATTGACTAATCTGAACTTTCAATGCACTGTAATTCGTTAAATGCCTACATTAAAAATTATTCAGTCTTTTAAATTGCTGGTTTTTAAGCAGTTTTGAGTGAGAACTACTTTGCGTTGTTAGGTCTGTTAGGAAATTTTGTGTTAGACCGTGGATGTTAGCTATGTATTTGATCAGAAAATACAAAAACTGCTATATATATGTAATGGGATGTTAAAGAAGTGAAATGGCTAAAGTTAAATAATACGACAAAATGCTCCGCAATCTCAAAATAGGTGTAATTTTTCTTAAATCTTCTTCTTCTTTTCTTCTTCTTCTTTTCCCTTTCTTCTTCTGCTTTTTCTTCTTCTTCTTATTTTTCATCTTCTTCTCCTTCTTCTTCTTTTTTTTCTTTTTCTTCTTTTTCTTCTTCTATTGTATACAAAATGATGGCATATGTTTGATAAGATCAGAACGCAATTTGATTAACAAGGGAACTTTACTGTAGAGTACTTTATCAAAATTGCATTATTTTATGTACCTTATAGATTTGGAAATTTTGCTATATGATCAAAAATTAATAGACTTGAGTCACGTCGACACATGAACGATATTTTGTAGACCTAAATTACATGTTACAGATCAAATGTTACCGAAATTATATACATGTTAATCGGAGATATAAGCCGATTCATGGTTGCAATCTTCACCAGACAAATAATGACACGTGACCATCAAAACAAATAATAAATAAAACATAAACAATGATAATATACATGCCGATATTATAACAGTAAGTTCATAATACAGCATATCGTTTAAAATCTGTGTAAGATTACATAATAATCATTCAAATCGATGTTACGTATTGAATATTATGTTACAATAAATTTATGATATTAAGAGAGCTTACATTAATATCTTTGTTCGTCTTTACAAACTTCAAAGGCAGACAATTCAAATGTATTACAGCTTTGATAGGGGTGTAATTTATCTTAATATTATCTGAAATAATTTTATGTATAACATTGTACATTACATGTACATGGTTGAAATGAAATTTAAAAAAACAACATACAAGCTATAAAATACTACATGAAAATTGATATTTAACATGAGATCCAGTTCAAGATGCTGTTTCTCTTTTATTATTTATTGTGCAAGTACAACCTTAAATTAAAAATAAACACCTGGCTTCAAAGGACATACATTAATGTTTAAAAAACTTGTTATCTTACATGATCTCGAAAATTTAAACTCCACAGCCGAGTAAAATATAAAGAAAATTGAAATTTTTTTCATCTTATGAACAATGAAAACAGATCTTAAAGCAGGAAAACATGATTATTTTGATATTGTATACAGATTATATGATTTTCAAAGCTGCATGCCTTCAGGTGAGCCAACATGTTTCAATAAAATCAAACTTGAGACAAATGTATTCAGATTTTAAGAAAAGTAAAAACAATTCAAGATTCAAGTAGCATTTACATGTTATGTGCGATTATTGAATAATTTTTCAGGATCAATCGCCATGGCAATTCATAAAAGTGACATAGTTTTTATAGAAAAATGTCGAATGTCAAATAGAGATTTAATATAATCTAGCAGGTATCAAAATAAGGTATCATTAAATTTATACGTCACTTCTATCGTAACTTGCTTGTACATGTATATAAAAAAGAATTTGACGTTCCACGGAAGGACTTTTTTTCAAAATGCTAATTTTCAAAATGGATTATAAAGTACAATATCGTACGTCTTTTTGGTACATTGCGTGGGTTTTAAGTGCCATTTGCGATGTGTAAATTACTTTCTTTGTTCACCGCACAACTTTATATTCCATTTTGAAAATTAGCATGAATCTGGAGACGTGCTGCTTTAAAGCACGGAAACGTATTTTGATATTGTCGTATACATATGATATGATTTTTAGGAAAATAATAAAATTTACAATCAATCTTGGAGCATTGAAACATCTTTAAGTTCATTTTAATAAGTATATAAAAGTGACATAGTTTTTATAGAAAAATGTCGAATGTCAAATAAGAGATTATAATCTAGGAGGTATCAATATAAGGTATCATTAAATTTATACGTCATTTCTATCGTTACTTGCTTGTACATGTACATTTGTACAATTAACGTTTCACGTTAGGTCTTTTTTTTTTCAAGTGTTCAATTTCAAATACTACATGTCTTTCAAACACGTCTGATAAATTTGTTAAGATATAAACTATTATTGATCACCAAATATGACCCTATTTCAAAAACTTGTTAAAACCATTAAGGTCATGTCGGTTCGATTTTTATCTCACTCGTTAAAGGACAGTCCATTTCTTTTTAAAAATATATTTGAGCCGTGCCATGACAAAACCAACGTAATGCATTCGCGATCCATGCTGTTCGCTATCAGTTTCCCTACTTGTAATAGGGTTTGTAAGCGAACAGATAGATAGATAGATAGTTTTATTTCAATCATATTAGGCTTAAAAGCCCACGATGACATGATGACAGCATAATACTAGACAACGAACAGTGCATATACATATGAAATACATAACATAGCATGATAATAATATCGGAGAAGATCATAACGAATAGATGCACTGGCTGGTCTGGATCCATGCTGGTCGCAAACCCACTATGTTGGTTTTGTCGTGGTGCGGCTCATTTGTCTATCTCTTGTTGTATGCCCTCTTGAAAAAACGACGATTTCATAATGTTGAATTTAGTATATATAATAACACAAAATTTATAGTTTTCAAAAATGAATTAAAACAAGGTAATACTTGACATTTGTACAATTAAAACAAGTATATTACATTTTAAACACACACCACCATTCATTACATGTTATAACTTACTAATGTAACAATATTGTTTTCTGTTAACTAAACAAAAATGCATTTTTTGTCATTTGAATGTAATTATTCTAATTAAATCAAAACGACGAACTAAATTACTAGTAGTTAAGAATTTAAAATAATTTAAAATTATTTAATAACAACAGAACAAAATCACTTTTGAATTTTGTTTCCATATGTAAAACTACTCTACTTCCCTTTATAGTTTGTCAACATCAAGTAAACTGGAGAATATTTTAAGTGCATTTAAATTTGTTCATAATGGATATACATCGTAATTTGATATGTTTTGCAAGAGAGTTCATAGAAAGAAACAGATTGAATGCATTCTGATATAAAGATAACATTATCTATAAGGTTTTATTATCACGGAACATAAGATAATTTGGAATGTCACGATAATTCAAGGTGATAGGGAGCTATTCTATTTTATGAGTATAATGATACTTATAGACGACAAACACATTTTACTTGGTAGAGCACAAAATCATACTATGTGAAGAGATTTTTTCCACTTTACTTTTTATTCAGATACAACCCATCAATTAAAACATTTATATATAACTCATAAAATATTATATCTTCTCTAATAACTACTCTAACTTCAGTTATTTTCAATATTACAGATTCAGACCTTGACAACGCTGGAGTGAAAGCTGTAATAACCCTTGGTGTTTTGGCCCTTGTTGGAATCTTAGCAGTCGTAATTGCTAAACTTGTACAATTCTGCATGAAATCTCATTATTCTGACAACGAAGAGAATGAAATTGACGAGAATACGCGAGATTTGATTCGTGCGAGACTTTCCGTAATACAGTTCAAAAAACGAGAAATTAGGAAAGCAAGAAAGGATAAAGCGTTAGGCGTTTTTAAAAAATGGCGCGAAATTGCACAACATAGAAAGAAAGACAGGGATACTGCTTTAAACTCACAAAGACCAGAAGAAAATGCAGACGTTGTTATAAATATTGATAAAATAGATACAAATAAAGCAAAAGAAAACAGAATTATAGAGAATGGAGATAGTAAGATAAACGAAAATGGAAGTCCGCGAAGGTTCCCATTTTTTACCCAAAATAAAACTGCAAATGGAGGAGTTAAACCACAGATGGACTCTCTTCGAGTAACTTCCTCAAATAAGGTAAATTTAGGACAACAAGAGTTACCTGTCGCGAGAGGACGCCCTGTATCTAGTAAACCACGTGTGTCCCCGAATGTCACATTAACTGACGTAGAGACTAAAGGTGGGACAATGAGGTCGGTTCATTTTGAGGGCGAAAGTGACGCTAATAAAGGAAATACGGATACTGATAAAAAAATAAAAATCAATTCAGTAGTTCCAACAAATGGAGAACCAGTTTCTAAATCAAAAAGTGATAAAGTCAGCACAGATAATGTTGGGATACATTCAGAAAACAATAATAAACCCAAAGAAAAGACATGAAGTAAAAATGAAGGGCATGCCTTAAATTTGTCTTCACTGTGCAATTGACCTAATTTAAAATGATACGGTTGGTGTACCCTCTCAAAACTATAAAATCATTACTGGCCCTCACCAGAGTTAATATACAGTTCATGTGCTACAAATGCTATACAAAAAGAGCAACAAAAATATAGTAAAGATCACCAAACTTGGTTTCCTCCATGTTTGAAAGTAACTAATGAATAATGATGCCTCGTTTATATGGGGGCTGATTTGGAACGATTTTGTGCGTCGTGTTGTCGCTAGTGACAGCACGACAAAGCACCAAACAGCGCGTTGTCGGACTTTCGTCTTGTCGTCCGGCCGCTAACGATGCACACCAAACGCCGTGTTGTGCGGCGTGTTGTCGCAATGTCACATTGTCGCCCGGCTCAAAAGGATTGGCTTATAAGCCAAGCGACAGGGCGACATCGACAGCGCAACGCGCAAAGTGTACCAGAACAGCCACCATACGTTTATCTTTGGATGGATGATGTTCATTGTCAAACTTGGAACAAAATATCTTATAATGTTTATCTCTTAAATTCTTCACGGAAACTGATTTTCCGTTTAAAAGGAAAATTCATTTTGTGATAAGTAATTTGACCGACCTTTATCAAAATTGTGAGAAGTATCCTTGACGGTTCTTTCTTGAGTTTATTTGTTGACAGGTATAGAATTTGTTCATTTATAAACTTCTGTCTCTTTTTCTAGACCACCTTAGCTAATGATTGAACCGAAAGATAGGCAGAATCACCAAATCCTAAATATCTTTTGCGTGTATGTAAATGGCAATTTTTGCCTTGTTTTAAATTGTTAATTTTTGAAGAAAAATAGATAAATTTTACAAATAGTTTTATTGTTTCTGTACTTAGTCTTCTGATCGCACATTACCAAGTCATGCAAGTGCAATCGCATCTTATCGGCTCTTTCCGTCAAACTTCGGATAAGAATTAATGTTTTATGAATAATGGCCGAGATGTTCTGATTGTACCAAACGGTCATTTCTGGCGACTTCATCTCCAGTGGGTTTTTTTTCTGGTCATTCGTGGTCAATGAAACGAATACTTTTAGTGTTGACGATTGCGTGCTGCTTAAGCCTGTGCTTGGGGAAGTGAGAGATTTTGAACGTTTCGATACAGTCTACAATTTACACATCATTGTTTTCATTGATCTCAAGGGTTCTCCCTTTTTTAGAGTTTTTATGGAAATCTGGAACAAGCTCAAAGGAGTGTTTTATCGAGCTTTCACGAATATTTTCGGCTCTTTCCGTCAAACTTTAGATTAGAATAAAAACCGAGATGTTTCATTTGCAAATGCACAGAAAGGCTCAACAAGTGTAAGGAAGTCGCAATATGACCTTATACTTGTCGCTTAACTAAAAGTTCCTATAGTCATGCATTGTTTTCACCGAAACGTTTAAGTAATCACAAAATCTTTTTTAAATTGAAGTCGTGGTTGATTTCGAGTTAAAAGCCTATAGTATGGCAGCGTAACAGTATGATCAAATGTGATAAATCACTAAGAGACACAAAAAATAGTCGTCATGATTGGACTCGACTACAAGCCCATAACTCTAATGTCTAAATATTACCGTGCTTATACCGTCAAAACTTCCTGGTGATGTTAGATTTTTTTCTGTAAGTTTTACTGATAAAAACAGGCTATTTTTAAAGTAAATCAATATTCACATTTTTCATATTTATTTAATTATTCATTTCAATTTATATAATAAGTTTTAACTTGCCTATTTTTATGTATTATTCATTGAGATACTTTTATTTTTGCGCTACATATCCTAAATATCTGCATCTGAAAGCCAAAATCAAGAACAACCTTTTCCTTACATGAAGTGTTACTGTGAACACTCAAAAATATTTTAAGCGTTCTTTTTCCGGATTTCAGCTATGCAATGTTGCACTGTAAATCAAATTGAAAGTCATACGGATGTCAAGTATATAACATTATTGTTTTGATATTCACTCGTTACCACCCAATGGGCGGCGTACCCTCGGAACGGATATTCCTGTCCGAACCGTAGCATAATGACAGATACATTGTACTATTCGTCATTCGGCAAACCTCGTTGTTTTTTTATAATCATGTCGGAAATAATACGAACAACGATTTAAGATAATGGCTTTTACAGTTCATTAAAACGGTTTTAAAATAATTGTAACACTTGACTTTTGATGCTATGACAAATCTTTGCATAATGACGAATGTATTCGTTTGACATCCTTTGGAAAATCAAGAATATTTCGATTAATATTTTAAGATTGACAACTTTTCAATCAGAAAACGCATTCTATTTCATGTTCTTTCAGTTTCTAAAAATATAATTACACAATGAATTAGCAAATATATAATGTACTTTTTACTTTTATATCTATATCTAAAGTCATATGCAATTGTTCTGCCCTTCCCGTAAGTACCTCGAACACAATGTACAATCACAGGAACCCGAAATTCTATTCGAAACAAAAAAATAACGATTAAAAAAATCCCATATATATACTATAAATTTTTTTTATAGTTTATATGGGATTTTTTTTTAAATCGTTATTTTTGTACATGTGTACATTTAGTACAGTCAGTCTTCGGATGTGGACCTCGAACACAATATATTTAGTAAGAATACACAGAACGGAAACGCTATTCCGGTCTAACCTACGCTAAGAAACTAAACATGTAAACAAAAAATAATTTAATGCTGAGAGTTGTTGACAAGTTTATATGTTTCCAATATATCAAGTAAAAGTCCACCTAAAATAAGTGAATTCATAGATACAAACGCAAACAATACATTATATATATATTTTTTATTATGGTTGTAAGAAACCTAATTAAAGTACAAAATGCCAACCCCCTGTTGACATTAAGTCGGATTAGTTTAAATTTGTACATCAGTGGGGTTATTAAAATAAAAATGGCTGTCAGAGATATTTTCAATCATAATTGTACCGAAACAGACCTTTTTCCTTTGGATGTCAAATATATACATTTGTTTTACATATATTCGAAGATTTCACTGTTTATTTCTACATCTGAAATATACCGTTCCAATTGACACAATAGTAACAATCCAACTTCTCGGCACTTTCCGTCAAACTTAAGGTCATTCGGAACAACTTGCCGATTATCCGTAATAACCTGATTAAACAAGAGCACCGCTAGGCGGAGCATTATATGCCCGAAAGTGTTGTTTTTTTTTAGTAAGAATGAAGCATTTGTAAGACATGGGGATTAAATAAAGTATCACCTCCTTCAAATATCAATCCTCCTATGAAGTTTGAATATTGTGGGCCAAATGGAACTTAAGTTATGCTCCGGAAACTGTTTTCAGTTTTAAGGTAATATTGACCTTGGCCTTTGACCTTGTGACCCCAAAATCAATAGGGGTCTTCTACCCAATAAGGACAATCATCCAATGAAGTTTGACAATGTGGGCCAAATGGAACTGAAGTTATGCTCCGGAAACTGTTTTCAGTTTTAAAGTAATATTGACCTTGACCTTAGACCTTGTGACCCCAAAATCATTAGGGGTCTTCTACCCAATATGAACAATCATCCAATGAAGTTTAAACACTGTGGGCAAAATGGAACTTAAGTTATGCTTCGGAAACTGTTTTCAGTTTTAAGGTAATAGTGACCTTGACCTTTGACCTTGTGACCCTAAAATCAATAGGGGTCTTCTACCCAGTATGGGCAATCATCCTATTCAGTTTTAACACTGTGGGCAAAATGGAACTTAAGTTATGCTTCGGAAACTGTTTTCAGTTTTAAGGTAATAGTGACCTTGACCTTTGACCTTGTGACCCCAAAATCAATACGGTTCTTCTACCCAGTATGGGCAATCATCCTATTCAGTTTAAACACTGTGGGCAAAATGGAACATAAGTTATCCTCCGGAAACTGTTTTCTGTTTTAAAGTAATAGTGACCTTGACTTTTGATCTTGTGACCCCAAAATCAATGGGGGTCTTCTACATAATATGGACAATCATCCAATGATGTTTGAACAATGTGGGCTAAAAGGAACTTAAGTTATGCTCTGTAAACTATTTTCAGTTTTAAGGTAATAGTGACCTTGACCTTGTGACCTCAAAATCAATAGGGGTCTTCCACCCAATATGGACAATCATCCTATGAAGTTTGAATATTGTGGGCCAAAGGGAACTTTAGTTATGCTCTCGAAACTGTTTTCAGGTTATAAGGTAATAGTGACCTTGACCTTTGACTTTGTGACCCCAAAATCAATAGGGGTCTTCTACTCAATATGGACAATCATCCTATGAAGTTTTGATTACTGTCGGCCAAATGGAACTTAAGTTATGTTCCGGAAACCAAATTGCTAACGGACGGACGGACAGACGGACGTCAGAGGGTACAACATAATATGCCCGAAAAACACGCCGTTTGGTGTTCGAGAAACGAATTATAAAAAGCTTATACAAATTTCCATGTTGGCTTAAACAAATTTAAAAGCTTGGCAATTTTGATTTTTACAAAACTTTTCTGAATTTATCACCGGTATGCCGAAACATCCGAGATTCTTTTTCTTATTATCTCATTGACATGAAGGCTGGGCAACTATTCATTTCTAATTAAATATACATTGCGAACTAAAGAGATGTCATTATATCACATTCATTTCAATAGAGCTTTATCAATCAATGTTTAATTGAATTATTACTAATCTATACATGGTCATTGCTGGAAATATATCGAGCATTACCGGAATATCAGTAATCATTATAAAGTTCCCACTGTGGTTGGATGACTTCTCAGCTATAATTTATTGGCTGTAAATGTATATAATAACAGTTTAAATCATAGGCAACCTTTTTACCGCGATCTGGAATTATAAAGGCGCAAACAGACCAACTCGCGTACAGAAGACTTGCTTCTAGGAAATATCGGGCAGAAATACATGGTTATTTGTTGACATTGGTTAAATATAAAATTAAGAGTGTTTTATTTTTTATAGCACTTGCTTTTATTAACAGAAAATAGTTACGCTAACATACTGGAAAACACATTTCAAACATATTGCGGGTAGTATTTCCCTGATTAAATCAATAAATTTTGAAAATACGCTTCTGTTCTATATAACAAAATACATTCAAAATACGACTTCCATCCAAAATATAAAAAAAACTTTGCCATTGGATAATAATTTTTAGAGACACATATACACAGGTAGGTATACAGATATGCGCTTGCGCAAAGCGAGCCAAAGTTATAAGCTACATCTCAGGCTTACTGCGAACCGAATTTCGGCTGAATTATACATGCACGTAGTAAATAGTTCCATATTGTCGGTAACAAGTTAGAAAATCCGTACCTTCATTCATTACAGGAGGGTTATCCTACATTTTGAAATGTATAATGATAACGAAAATTACAGTAAATTTGTGCTGTGTACAGAAAAAATATCAATGCGCGATTGAATCACGTGACAGGTCACTGAGGTCAGCCATGCTTCTTCCACAGCTTGATTCGACTTTCGTTATTTGATACAGACATCCAGGATATTTTGAAGAAATTGTAAGTTCTTGAGTAATTTTGACAGTTTACCTCGATTAAATAAGAAAGACTTTATGAAACTGAACCACCCGTGAGATTAATTTTTGAAGATTAATTTGTTTATAAATAAAAATTGTCGGTAACAGGGTAACGATTCGCCACAGTGACGATTCGTCCGAATTTAGTGACGATTCGCCCCACCTAAAATTAACAAAATATTTAAAATACATTTGGACTGAAAAATATTTATGGTTTGGGTATTTTTGGAATTTGTTTGGTATATCCTTTATATTTAATAGATAACAGATAAAGGTTTAACAGAACTAACAGTATAATAATAAATTATTAAATTATTAGAAGTAACTGAATATAAAAAACTGAACGAGAATTCTGCTAAAGAGGCTATTTGGTGTGAAATTAAAATTAACAATTTAGAGAAGCTTGCTCGTAGGATTAGTGTATAGATCTCCTAACTCGAGTGCGGAAAATAATGTAGCTATAAATGAAATGATTAGTGCATTGAATAATGAAACACTAATCGAGAGTAGTTGTTATGGGTGATTTCAACTATCGTGATATAGACTGGAAGCATTGGATTTCAAGTGCGCCTGAAAATCATGTAAGTCATGAATTTATAGAAGCTGTACGTGATAGTTATCTTCATCAAAACATAGAATTTTATACAAGATACAGAAACGGCCAAAGACCAAGTACTTTAGATCTTGTTTTCTCATCAGAAGAACTTTTAGTGAACAATATTGAACACTTCAGTCCCCTGGGTAAAAGTGACCATATAGTGATTACCTTTGGTATTGACTGTAATTCCAGCAATGAGGCATACATGAAAGAGTCATTTACTTATGATCGAGGAAACTATGATGAAATGAAAACTTACTTGAGTAATGTTGATTGGATAAGTGAATTTCAAGGTAAAGAAGTGAATGAAAATTGGATATTTTTTCAAAGATAAAATAACAGAATCAATGAAAAAACATATTCCTGTTAAGAAAATCAAATCATCAAATAGGGTTATAAACCAATTTGGATGACTAGAGAAGCTCTTAAAGCGGTGAAAAAGAAACATAGGGCATGGAACAAATATAGACAAACAAATGAACATGTTCACTTTCAATATTTTTGTCGTCACGTAATATAGCTACCTGTGAATGTCGTAAAGCCAGAAATAACTTTGAAACAAAAATTGCAGAGGATACAAATCCGAAAGCATTTTACAAATATGTGAATTCTCGCAAAAAAAGTCCAAAATGGAATAGCAGACTTAAAGAGAGACGATGGTTCGATTACGGAAAATGACTTGGAAAAAACTGAAGAACTAAATAGGTTTTTCAAGTCTGTATTTACTATTGAAGATTTGAACAATATTCCATATATAAATGATAGAAGTTCTGGTAAAAGTATCTTGGAAGTACAGTTCAATGAGCAAATTACCATGAAATTACTTGAAAATCTTAACGTAACTAAATCATGTGGACCTGATTTCTTACACCCTAGAGTCCTGAAAGAAGTTAAGAATGCAATATGTTTACCATTGACTCTTTTATTTCATCAATCTTTTGAAGAAGAAGAAACACCGATTGACTGGAAAACGGCAAATGTGAAAGCGTTGTTTAAGAAAGGGGAGAGAAACCAGGCAGGAAACTATCGACCAGTAAGTTTGACTTGTGTCCCCTGTAAGCTTATGGAAAAGGTGGTAAGGGATCAATTAGTGAAACATATGACTGAAAACAATCTATTTTCAAATTCACAATATGGATTCAGAACACTGAGATATTGTGCTATACAATTACTGGAAGTTATGGAAAAATGGACGGAATGGATAGACGATAGTCAAAATTTTGATTGTATTTATTATGATTTTCAAAAGGCGTTTGACACTGTTCCATATGTTAGATTATTGAAGAAACTTGAAAGTTATGGAATTAATGGTAAATTATTAAAATGGATTGATGCTTTTCTCCGGATAGAAGACAAAGGGTTGTAATTGGTAGTGAAAAATCTCAATGGACTGAAGTCACCAGTGGTATTCCACAGGGAAGTGTCTTAGGACCTACACTATTTTTGATTTACATTAACGACATAGAAGATGCCATTGAAGGAACATTGCGTTTATTTGCTGATGATACAAAACTGTACAATTTAGCGAATGATGATGCAGATATAGAGAAAATTCAATCTGACAATGACAAATTAAGTATATGGAGTGAAAAGTGGTTACTTAAGTTTAATGCAAACAAGTGCACTACATTACACTACGGAAATCATAATGTCAATAATACCTACCATCTTAAAGTAAACAACACCAGAAATGAAATTTCAAACAGTGAATCTGTAAAAGACCTTGGAGTTACTTTTGATGTGAATATGAAATTTAGACAGCAAATAAATGATTGCATCAATAAAGGAAATAAAATTACAGGACTAATGAGAAGAACATTTCTGCATTTCACAGTGAAATCTTTCGGGAAATTATTTAAAACCCTAGTTAGGCCTCATCTAGAATATGGAAACATTATTTGGAATCCTCGTTTTAAGAAAGACATCAATGCAATTGAATCAGTACAAAGACGTGCAACAAAACTAGTTGGTCAACTAAGAAATCTGTCATATGAACAACGACTTAAAACACTGAAATTGCCGTCACTAGCATATCGTCGATTTAGAGGTGACATGATTGAAGTTTTTAAATTGTTACATCATAAGGAGGATATTAACTATGAAGTGTTTTTTGAATTAAATAACAATGCAAATACAAGAGGTCATGGGTATAAACTGAAAGTGAAATCATGTAGAACTGAGATTAGAAAGCATTTCTTTTCTCTACGGGTTATCTCGGACTGGAACAATTTACCAGAAGTGGTTGTGAATGCTCCTTCACTTAATAGCTTTAAAAACAGGTTGGACAAATTCATGGGAGAAACACAGTATACCACCATACCGGATCAGAACTGGGTACAAAACCATGGGGGGGTTATAGAAGACGATGATGACGTCTTGCGACCTCAACTCCAGTAAAGTAAAGTAAAGTAAAGTAATCTGGATTCTCATTTGTATCAATAATATATTATGATATTTAATATAACTTTCAGAGTTTTAATAAATAAACTAGATAATAGATTGATGTAATAGATAAGTATGATAATATATTGATTTTATTTACTCATAGATATTCGTTTCTACAAGCAGATTGTCATACATTGTATTTTCTATTGTTCTATTGGCCATGGTATTTGTCGCATGACATTATATAATGGCAGATTGGTGAATCAAAAATTATTGTTTATGTTTACAAATGCATATCATAGAGGAAAAAATAGAATCCCTTAAGAACACCCAAAATGACACAATTGAAAATGTTGCAGGTTCGGTTTGTTTGAGGGCTAAACAGTACTGGAAAATGAAAGTTACTGTCCTTGCCCCCCTAGCACATACTGGCTTTAAGGCCCATTATGCCCAGAAATGATTTTAGTTTATTTCTCAAAAGCCTGTTATTGGTGGCCTGTTATAACTTCCAAAAAGTTACTCAATGGGCAATTATCTGAACCAACTTTTGCCTCAGCTGTTGCTTTTTAGCAATCAGTATAGTTAAAGGTGATTTAGTATTTTGTATGGAAGTCAAAAAACTACTTTGTTTACATGCAAACAGTAAGGCCTTACATGTAGTAAGTCTGTCCTAGAGGAGGTGTCTGATTATTCTTTAGGCTTCAGTTCTCACACTGACACTAACTGAGTTCAAATATTTTGCAAATTCAGTTTTTATAGTCTAAATTACTCTAATTATTGAAACAATCTAAACCAAAGTTTTTGAAAAACGCAGAAAAAAATACACAGAATCTTGAAGAACAGTATCCTTTTCTGTTCAGTTCCCCCATTCTTTTTTTCATTAAGGGAACACACATTGTATTCTTTGGGAATCATACGCCACTTTTCATGGAATGGCACTAACATGTCACATTGGAGTTTCCATGATCACTGCCATAAAAATACACCTGCTATTGTTTCTAATTTAAAAAATTTACCATTACATGTTTAAATGTTGAATACTGCTTAACCTGGTGCTATTGGTCGTGAACAGTAGCATGCACTTTCCAGTACTATCCATAAACTGGCTCAATCAAACTGAGTCTGCAGCATTTTCAATATTGCTATTTTGGACTTTTTTTTAGAATTTCTGTTTCTCTTTATGTACACCTAGTATTAAGCTTTAAATGAGCGAATAAAGAGACCACTTAGGACAAACACACATGCAAACAACTAGATTTTATTTATTTTGCTCAAGCCCTGTCACTCAGTCATATTTACCTGTATTTAAAGAAAGATTCTACAACTAGATTTTTTAGAAAGTAATTCCTGATCCAGAAGTGTTTTCCCACAAACAAGTGCGTGGTTCCCCATTCTGCTCTATGCTAGTGCATACAAAAACGGACGATAGTACTTAGACTGTGTATCATATAACATTTTATGTACATGATGATTATGGGATTTTCTAATAATATGAAAAAATTGTTGATATAAGAAAAATATATAATTAAATTGATAACGTCATGGGATTTGACTGATTAATTTCACAAATAATCATTGTATATTATAAACATGAATGATATTGTCTGAATGGTTAAGGTCAACATTTTACTTGCTTCTGATTTGTCCCAATAGTTTGATGCATTGACCTGTTTTGAGTTGGTATATATACATGTACATGATGTAGCTGATTTGACTATTAAGCCAAATGATTTAGATAACTATAAGTTGGGAATGCTTTATTGTTGATATGAAAATCATATGAATGTTAAATAAAGAAATGCATTTATTTCAGGTGTGTGAATATAATAAACTGTTGTGTGAGGTTTTTAATGTGACATGGTCAAGACATACTATGATAGTATTGTTCAGTGTAAGTTCTCTTTAAATGTTTGTTTATAAGAAAAAAACCCACATTTATTTTATTGAGCTCTGGAAAATTTGAAACACATATTTGACTTAGTAGTCAAATTTAAGAACAACACTACTGTCATGGAAGTATTTCCTGTACAAAAGCAGTATACCAGCTTTTTTGCAATAAATGCTGTTGTTTTTTCCTTGTGTCCAGAATGATATGCACATACTATTAAGAAATATATTCAGAAATACATTGAAAATTGTATATTTGTGCTATTCTAATTCTATTCTTCCCAATACATGTATGAATCAAAAGCACTGTTCATTTTTGGGACATTTTACACTATTCAAGTAATCATTCTGGGAAAACAGAGCGAGTGCATGATCTGAAATTTTTGCATATAGGTTTTTTGCCAAGATCTACATCAAATAGAATATCAAATTATCAATCTTGAAATATTATTTCCATTCTGGTCATGTCAAAAGCCTCAGTGGAGTCCCTTTAAGTAATTCATATATGACATTGACCTTTAGATGACTGACCATCATGGTCAAATACTGAATTTAACTTATTGTCATATTGTTAATATTTATTTGTTTTGTGTTCGCATATTAATTTATAAGAAGAATTCCTTGAAAAATATTTACCTCATTTGACTGGAAAAGTACATATATTATAACAACCTTAGCTAAAGGTAGTAATAAGAGTATGAGTCTGAAGTTTACAATATTTATGGTTTCTCTTTTGGTTACAGAGAGAAACAGTTTTTCTTTTTGTATTTTATTATATTGAAAAATGTATAATTTGCTGTCAAGTTGTGTGTAACTAAATGTGTAGTACATTTTACATTTATCTTCTGTTCTTAGTAATTAATCTATAGAGTAAGTGTATAGGTAAAAGAATCTCTGGTAAAAAATATTGAAAATCTTAAAAGCACATATAATGTGTCAGAGATAAATAATTTTGTAATTCTTTAGAAAGGTCAAATATGTGTTCAATTATGTTTTAATGATGTATTTAGAGCATTTTAAATGTTTAACAACTGAAAAGAGTAACACTGAACAAACAGTCATGTGTTTGTAAAGGTAGCAAAAATGTGAGAAAGTATTATTTTGACTTACATACAAAATACTGAATTAATGTAATTATACCAATTGCCAGATAACTTATCTACATGTACATGGTCAATGAGTACATGTAACTATTTGAGAACTGCAACAAGATATGTAAAAGGAAAGTTTGAAAAATAAAATGTTATCTTTTCTAAGGCTTAATGGACCTTTAAAAAGTTATTATTTTATATATATTAAATGCAGAATATCAATAGGTGTGCAGAAAAATTGTGGTAAAATGATATAACTTGCTTGTTTAATACTGATTACTTGTGCATGATCTTTAATATATTATAAGACATTAAATTTTTGTTTTGCTTTTTTTTTAGGTGACTTCTGTCATGTTACTGTTTGATAACAGTGAAGGTACAGTAGGTTCAGACAAGTTATATACATGTATAACAGGACAAGATAGCTCAAACTGGTAGTTTGTTATAGCAAAAAGTGATGAAGTTTTCAGCCATGAAGTCTTCATGATGATGATCATCATCAATGATCCTATTTATAGATTCTTTGCAATTATCTGTAAGGAAGAGGTTTCTGCTGCAGAGAAGAAAAAAATTCATACAGGTTTGTCATTTTTTCAATAATAAATTTAGGTCTGTTGTTGATTGCATGTACATTAAAGGTCTTTCCTTATCATAAGGTTCTAAGGTTTGTCATCTTGTGGTAATTACTGATCCCTTAGTAATTAATTACAGTCATCAAACTTTTTAAACATGTTTACTGTAATCACTTGTTGCATGGTGCATATGCCTGAAGCCTAGGATTTTGAGACAAATATCATCATGTTTTACTATTAGATTATGTGGAAAAATGATTAATAAATGAATTATAGTTTAAGGGTTTTTCCAAATTTTCAACTTGCACCGATGTCGATGTATATCAGGGTTTTACTTTCTAATGTTTGACTGATATCATTGCAGACCTTTACTAATTCAAAATCATGACAAAGTATTTAAAATTAAAATTTTCCTTTCCAGAATTACATTAATTCATTGTAGGACTAGTAATCATACAAAAAATATATATTACTGTAAACATGTTACACTAGAAAATTAAAAAATTGAAATGTATGCTCATAGTGAAATGATCCATTCAAAAGTTAAATTTTCAATTATTTTTCTGAAAAACAATAACAGATTATGCCCTGCTTCTAGTTTCTTGTATTTGAACAAATTATGCTGTTTAATTGTTTTACTAAACCTTGCTCCCACTTTGCAGTAAGAAGTTGCCCACTCTGTTCAAATGAAGCTGTCTGAAGTACCAAGTAGAACAATGTATTATTTCTGGAACAACTTAATTGAAGTGAAGCTAACTATGTGAAGGAGTTATTTCTGTATTCAAAAGGAAACTCCAGCATACAGAATACCAATTGAGGTATAGTAGTCCACTTTAAATTTTTACTGTTATCCATCTAAAGAAAGCATGAGATACAAAAATAAGCGATAATAATTATTTTCCTGACACCAGAATACACTATGGTTCTGCTTGCAGTTAGAAGTGATGTTCTATTCTTGTACAGCAGCATTAATTGAAACCAATATTTGTCCTATCATTTAATTGAAAGAAATTGACAATATTCTTGTTTGTTTTTCAGCAGCATTTGTAAAGTTAATTAAGTCTGTATATCACACCATCCATTGCTTTTGATTTTCTTGTGACCAGAAACTAGCATTTTACATAGTGGTGTAAGCTTACTATGATAATTCATGCAAAGATATGATAAAGATATATATATATATAATATATATATAAGAAATATGTCTTCGATTTTACTGGTAAATTGTTTATGTATGGAGCACATTGTCTTTATGATGTTGGATATATTCAGTGCCAGATAAACAATTACTTGCAACATGACAAATATATTTTATTTTTCAGATATCTGTAGCTTCAGTTATGGGAGTACACAAGATTAATTGAACTGGAATCCCTTCAGACGTTGACATAGCTAAATTTCGCAGTTTCAACTATAAATGGACATTAAATTAATATACATTGGTTTTATTTTATACATGTATTTGTTAATATTTTTTGTTTTCCATTATTTCCCAATATTGTTAATTTTGGATAATATAATGCCACAGAAAACTTGTCGGTCTTGGAGTATGGCTGTTTAACAAAAACACTACAGATTGTTCGTCAGAACAATGAAATTACAGTTTTGCTTGTTAATGAACTAATTTACATAAATATATAATTTTTGTAAGTATGAAGAAATTTGGAACATATCATATAATGGGTATTTGTTTCTTTTGCATGCAAGATCCAAATATATTTCATAGAGTGAACAGCAGATTTAATATTTTCATGAATGGCATTGAAAAACATATACAATGTATAACTTTGGCACAATGTTGGTAAATGGAGGCTGCTATTTTTACTGTGACTGAAAGTAGTTCAGATATGACACCTTATTATGTCCGAGGTCTATAGCCCATCATACAAGCCAAAGAGAGCAGATTTTTTTTTCTGTGTAGAATCATTAATTTTCAATGTTCAGATTTGAAAGTGATTCTGTCATATTCCTGAATTTGTTTAATTTCCTTCATGATTTGCAAATATTAATTATCTACTTTTTTATTTATCACATTTTTCTGAGAAATAAATGTATTTCCCACAAAATTTCTGTTTGTTTATAGGCTTTTCATCCTCATTCAAAATAAGGGTCTGGCTACTTTTGAAATTATACTTTATTGTGAAATAATCTAAAAGTAAATGTCATTTTTTACTGAAAAGCATGTTATATAAGTTATGGTGTTCAATTGATTTCTGCAGGACAACTTATGAAGGAAATGAAGTGAGTTGATATTTGCCATGTTAGTATCAAAAGGCAGTTTTAGTTTCAATAAATTATTTTTGATGCTGTTATGCCCCTTTTTAGCTCGACTTTTTCTTTTTAAAAAATAGAGGTATTGTTACAGTCATGGCATTGCGAGGTCATCCACAAACTTATACTTTGATCATTACTTTTTAGCTCACCTGAGCACAACGTGCTCATGGTGAACTATTGTGATCCCCCACCATCAGTTGTCGTGGGTCGTCAAAATTTTTTTTAAACAAATCTCCTCCGAAACCAAAGACTGCACAGTAATAAAACTTTGCAGGAATGACCCTACAGTTAGTGCCCTTAATTACTTTTGTCCAGTGCATAACTTGAAAACTAGTACATGTAGTTGGAATTCAATACAAATTCATACAATGGTCAAGCGAAATGAGAGAAAGTGCAGTGTACAATAACCATTACTCAATCTGCAGTATTTATAGAGTTATTGATCTTTTTCCTTGTCTTTCTGGACTTATTATAGAGTAATTCAATAAAACTTCATCAATGGTCAGCAACATTGAAAGGAAATGCAACATACAAGAACCACAACTTACTATCTTTAATTGCCCACAAACATAACTCTATTTCAATTCTTTTACAAGGTATTCTGTTACATCCTAATGTCCAAAGCAGTCTTGTGGGGGTATTAATCACATTTAGTGATAGTTCTAGTTTTTAACTAATCATACTTTACTTATTGTTTTGTGAGAATTTCATGAATCTCTCTGGATGAAATTGTGACTTTGATAAGTCATGTATTCACAATCACTGAAAGTTTTATCCCTGATGGAACACTTATTACTAGTATGCATAGAAACAGAAAGATTTTTCAACCATTTTCTTTTCGAGTTGTTTGAACACTATCCAGTCTATATGCTTATGGGTTGATGATAACTTGAAGATATCAGATTGATAATAACTATAATCCCCAAGAATGAGCATGTTTTTCATATGCCTTATAAGTAGATGAAATTATCAATGCTTAGTCATTGTTAATAGAGGACTTGGTTATCTACTTCCAGCTTCTGCTTCTGTCAGTAGTGTACTCTTAAACTTTATTCAATTTAAAGTATTATTTTGAGGATATAAAGCAATTTGGTTTTTCGATCTCAACTGAACCACTTGAGAAAAAGTACTGGTTTTTTAGTACTTTTGATAAACCGTGTTGTAATTGTTGGATGTCAATGATAAATCTCCCTGAATAAAATCATATGGCAAAATATTGCACTTTCCTTTGTACTCAGTCATTTCCTCTTGAATATGACTTGACCCTTTAAAAAAAGTTGCAAAAGGACAGGAAATTTGGCCTTTCAAGTGATCACCAGCAATATAATGTCATATAAATTTGTCAGCGCAAGCGACCCTCCAGTGCTTTCAGTGCTTTGATCTTGACGTGTTAGAATGGAAATAGATATTAATTCTTCGTGCATTATTGTATAATAATGCACGTTTTTCGTTCAAATGCTTTGTAATTAATCACTCAGGCCTATCGGCCTTCGTGATTATATTACAACGCATTTGAACTCAAACCGTGCATTATTCTACAACAATGCACTCAGAATTGATATCTATTTCCTAAATATCAACTGTACCACTAATTTGTCTCGATTTTCCATCGTAGAGATCCAGCCGAGATCTTTGACATATGTAAAGTGTTTTGCCGGACAATCCCATGGACTTAAACGTAATAACAAACCGGAAGTTGTAACCTAAATAACCGTCATTTATCCCAACAACACAAGTTTGAGTAGATGGCGGGTACTGACTCCTCCACGGAGAGACTATAATAGCGTCCCGGCTTCGAAGATTTTTCTGATAGTTGCAATAATCGTTCATGTAGTCTAAAAATATGAAAATAAGTTATAAATACGGTTTTCTACGTAATTCCTAATCTTTAAATACATAAAATAAAGACATACATTCCATGTTGTAATTGAATTAAGATATCCACATAATATACAATTTGTGCAAAAAGGCACAGTAAGGAGTTCACAGTAAATAACATGTAACATACTGGTTCAAAGAATAAATGGAAACTATTATTTTCATGTAGCATCCTAACATGGCATCTAAGATGAAAGATCTAACTTCATCAGCCTTTATTTTGACAAATTTGTAAATCTGAAGCAGATGAGTTTTTTTTTATTAAACGTCTATACAAGTTGTTGCATATGTCTGCAATCAAGATCTGAAAAATGCTTACATTGACTTGGCGTAAATCCTAGCACACTTCCGGCGGAAGGCAATGTGGCGTTATCCGACACAACGCTCATCGCATTAACATACGTTGAGGAAAAGAACGCAAAAATTAAAAACCCAAATACTTCCATATCTATTTTATATCCGTGTAAGTAATGCGAAACACAGAAAAAAAGAAAAATATATGTGGGTCGAGTAATTTACAACCAAAGTTCTACTTGTATGACACAGGGTCTTTCTAGAAAGACCCTTGTATGAAATAAGAAAAAAAATTGATGAATCAAAATACCGGAATATGAAAACAGGGATCTATATATAGCTATCTTTATGCTGTTTTCATGTTAGAGTTACAATGTATTCATGTGACAGGATAGGCCATTAAGCTTTGTAGGGAAGGTTGTGTATTTAATGGGTTTTTTTTATTGTAGCTCTTGAACTATAGTCATAATGCTGCCAAACCTTGTCATAAGTGAGATAAGTCTTGTTCTGATTACTCACAGTCCATCTCACGTGATTTACACAAAATAGTGTTTTTCCAAAACCATGTGAAATAACAAAATAAATCCAGTACTTGATGAGGTACTTCAAACTGATCACGTGACCACAGATAACAATTAAGCATCTTTTAGTGAATGCGTTTGGATAGGTTTCCGGTTTTAAACAATAGCTTTCGCACTTTGTGCTCACTTGAAATAAGATATGTATATACATTGTTTAAATGAAACCTTAAAATATATGTTACATGGTTTTTATTATTTGTGTCTCATATGTTAACAAGAAAATCTAAATGAAATAATGTCGTGAATGGTTTTCCATATCGGAAAAAAAAATGAAACCAAACTAACTGATGAGCCTTTAATTTTTATTAAAAAGGAAAAATAATTTAATTTACAGACATAAAAACACTCGTAAGTTTAAATTGCTGCAGTCACCAAATAAATGTTCGGCAAAAGATGATGTTTTTCTTGTGTTTATAATTATTGTTTATATATTTTCTTGCCAAAAATCAAATCCTAGATAAAATCAGTGTAGATTATCGAAATAAATCTATTAGCAAGTGACGTAATTCTTTCTTCTACAAAAGTTGTATTCACCAATCTCTCTGAAAATCTAATTTTCAATTCTGTGCAAATTTTGTCCAGATAAGGCCTATTTTGGATTCAGCGGACTGGAGAAGAAAAGCTTGCCAGAAGTTTTTTTTAATGTAAAGATCGTCCAGATATTGAAACTACGTTGAAATACCTACAGTACACCAAACTCATGCTGTTACAAGACAATCTGTATCACACATATTTGTTCATGCTTGAAATACAAAAATTATAACTAGTAACCGCAATTATAATTACAGTAACGTAAAATTATCTATTCTATGGATTTTTTTCACAAAAGAGATACTTGTGAATATTTTGTATTTTCTACAGATATATATATATTCATTATTAAGATATCTTAAAGATCATTAATACCACAGGTGCTAGTGGCATTGATTTGACCTAAAATGGGTTTGACCTTGTTATTTATACAATAAAATATCAATATATTAAAAAAAAAAAATTTTTTTTACTATAACATTAGTGAAAAATTTTTTTTTTTTTTTTTTTAATATATTGATGTTTTAGTGCATAAATAAATAGAGGATATTGAATGAGTGTAAGTTCAATACTGAATTTATTGCACGAGTTGAATAAAATTATATTATGCGAGCCTCTGGCGAGCATAATATTATTTTATTCAACGAGTGCAATAAATTCAGTAATGAACTTACACGAATTTAATATTCTATTTATCACTTACCCAAAATAAAGACCGTTTAAAGTGAAATAAGAGTCATTTTCATTGACGCGTATAACGCTAACATTTAGCGCGTCTTTACACTATGTTTGTATAACGCTAATGACGTCACGTCAAAATATATGCACGGCCGTGCAATACCATATTTACGGAGTCGCAAAATCGGCACGGGTGTGTGATAATAAGGTTAAACACATTTTAGGTCAAATCAATGCCACTAGCACCTTTGATTAATACCAGAGATGTAGATAACATGTATGTGTATATTGTTTGAAAAAAGAGCGAAAAATAATTAAAATGGCTGAAACACGGATCTGGAGTCAAACAGGCCTCGTCCCGGTTGCTTCTGCAATCGAGCTTTTTTTATAACATATTTTACTTGATAAACAGTTCCAATGTCAAAGCGGATGTTGTATTTATTACACAAGAGAGGGTTAAAGACTTTCATAAGTGCACGTTGCGCAACACCAGCCACAGCAACAACAGCAGACGATAATTCCGATGACGATAGCAAGAAACACCACGCAGCCGACAACGATACCCACAATCAAGGCAACGGCTAGTTTAGCACACGCCTCCTCATCGCTGTCGTCTCCACAATTATTGTACGAGTCACAGAGCATATCATCCTTGATACAGTTTCCATTCTTACATTTAAACTCGTCATGTTTACAAGTACCTGTATTAAAATAAAATTGCTTTTTTCAATATAGTATACCCATGTACTACTCTTGAGAGAAAGTGTACATGCAATATTTTTTTATAATTTTATTTATAACAGGGAACTGAAAAGCACTGAATTTTAAGAGTTTTAGATGAATCGAATGAAATAGGCAGACAACATAATTAAACGCGTGTACACTTCTTACTTATCTAGTCAATATATACATGTGTATACATGTATAATGAATATGATTAAGTTTTAATAAAACAGGAAAAAAATAAGACCTGTTTTATGCCAAATACAGTTTCTGAAATCTCAATATTTAATCAAAATATTTACCTCTGTGAAATGGAGTAATGACAGCTTCGAAGTACTGGGACTCTGCGAGTGGAAGTTGGTTTGTTCTATACACTAACGTCAAGAAGCTTGTCGTGGTTTCATAGTTATCTCGGTTGGTCCTCGTGCCACACAACCCGTAAACATCTGAAATAAAATGATATGCCGGGGTATTGTGGTGGTGATGATGATGGTGGTGGTGATGATGATGGTGGTGGTGATGATGATGATGATGGTGAGGAGGATGAGGACGACGACGATAGACAATTTATAATGCTGATGATGTTAATGGTGATGTATGGTGGGGATGACGGTGACGATAAAGGTGATAGTGGTGGTGGTGATCATGATGATAATGTTAACAATCAAACAAATAGTAAACAAACTTTTGGCTTCTACTCAATCCTGATTAAAATTTCTGTAATTGAATTATGTTTTGAAAATATGGACGAACAAAAAAGTAACAATAAAAATAACAACAACAACAACAATATCTACAGAACATACCATTAAGTCTATCACTGGCACTAACAGATTGTCCGTTATAAAGATCTAGTCTTGATTTTAGACACGTTCCAGATGTTTTCCCATGCAGATTCATCTTTTTGAAGGTTATGACAAATCTGTAGGTCCAGTGCTTTGCATTCTTAATCCCGACGATGCATGTCTTTGTGGTAGGCGGAAATCTGCTTGACCATGGAGACAACAATATTGCGTCACGACTGGACAACGATTTCTGAGAATTGCACATATAATTCATATAGTCTGTAAAATAAAAGTTATAACATACGTAGTAATACTGAAGTGATATTTAACGAATAAGCAATGTGCAATGGTTTTGAGTCAGATGTACAGCGTGATTAATCACAAGGTCATTTGTCAGGACCAGGTTCAATGAGAAAGCATAGCAACCCTTCCTGAGATACGAAGGAAAAAATCAAGACAAACAAACAAAAATTGTGCCCCATGGGTGTTGTGAAATTTCTAAGCCTTCAGCCTTTACATTTCCCCCGATTATTTTCTTTTGGTTGTTGTAGCACGTCCCTCATGGAATCAAATTTCTTTGAAAAACATTTGGAGTCCTTTACCAAAAGAAGAAGCCGGACAAGTTTAGTTGAAATAAGACTTTTGGTTTCAGAAGCCGGATTTGTTTAGTTGAAATAAGACTTTTGGTTTCAGAGAAAAAATGAAGTTCAATTTCTAATCTATAAATAACGAACAAACATATAACACGAACACTTAAATAGTCAGTCGTTAAACGCAGATGATGCGATGGCATAAAAGATGACGCATTTAAAACATTTTCTACAATACTGACAAGATCTTTATGAATGAAATATTATGTGCTCCTTTCTGGCGTTTTTTTCGACATGTCGTTCAATTTAGCGTAAATATAGAAATAAAAAAAAAACATGAAAAGAACATCTTTGTGAAAAAAAATCACCATAAAATTGACATACTTGTAAATATTTTCCTGGGGTGTTCATGACCGAATGTTGTTGATATCAAACCACTTGCCCCTTACCACTATATGTTCGAATCCCGATTAGGACTTTGTATCCTTTCAAATGAGAAAAGCTATCCAGCTAGCTAAAAAGTCGGCGGTTTAACTTAGGTGCCCGTTGACAGACGTTATCCTTCTCAATATTATAGTTACACACATAATTTACATAGAGGATATTTGTTTAGTTCAGGGTAAGATCGGAATATATTTCATCGAGTAAGCACCAAAAGGTATATTTGACGAGTGGTGCAGCCACGAGTGACATATGAACTTTGGTGTTCACGAGGTGAAATATATTTCAATCTTACTCTGAACTAAACAAATTTATTTTTATTATATGCAGAGAAACGTTTAAAAAGACATTTAAACCTCATAGTTAATGAAAAGCGCGCCAAATGATAATAAAACTTGACGTCATTCATGACGTCACATCATTTAGTTGGTTTCCAGCACAGTGAACGCTTGTATTTCACTGAACCAACATAAGGGGCTTAAATTCAAAACAGTGAAAGTATCAAATTGATAATTTCACTGTTTAAAACAGTGAAATTACCAGTTTTTAATTCACTGATATATTTTTATAAACCACCGAAAAGCATGTAATAAAACGTAATCTTAACTTACAGTGAGACGGCGTCAGACCAAGACTCTCAGATGAATTCCCGGATAAGTTTGAACTGTTCGAGACAATGCTCATCTGAGAAGAAATCCCCAGCAAACTTGTTAGAAGAAGTAAATATTCTGTCATCGCCATTGTGTTACGTTTCTAGCCTGACCAAGTGTGATTTGATATCCGAAATAAATGTTAGGTCTAAGACACATTTTATATCAACAGGATATAGCAATTAATATTGGATACATTTTGTCGGATATAAAATTAACTTTACAGGATATCGGTGTAAGGAAACGATTATTGATAACATTATAGATGATTAAATAGATAGTATTTGTTGTATGAACACTAATAAAATGCTAAAATTATAAATTATTTGTGAAGTTTTAATAAATACCGTGCTTACTTAGGGAAAAATGATATTTGTCAAGGACAATCACAACAAATAAGGTGAAAAATTAAAATAAAACAAAATATTCTAGCAAGGGAAAATCCGTCGAAGACAATAAGATTAATTATTTAAAGACAAGTATTGATTATGTTTATGATAATGAAAGGTACGTCATCTCTTGCTATATCACCTTATGTGTGTAATATCCAACATTTAAAGTACGCAATTAATGATCTCGCTGGAAAAGTACATACAACAACACTTAGACAGATGAAGTATGTTCTTGAGTAACCTCGAGAGTTTCTGCCGAAATTGTACAAAATCTCGAGGTCAACGACTAAATCTCAATATTTTACAGCAGGGAACATTTTGACTCCAGTGGCGGCAGCGTCCATTGTTTAACTCTACATTTTATCCCTCGTACGTCTTTAAATCAAAGCACAGAAGGCGCTGAATTTGTTTGGGTCTCCGAATGTCAGAAAGGTGAAGGTTGTGAGATTATAAACCAATTTGTTTTTGTATAGTGCCACCAATGCTTTCCAGCGTTTTAATTGTAGTTAATTGGCTAAAAGACTAATTGCAACACTGATATTCAATCCAATGTTTATTTGACTTAAACAATTTGAAAAAAAAATGAGTTGCCTTATCTGGGATTTAAACTCCAGACCTCTCGCTTCCTAAGCGAGCATGCCACGGTGAATTTATATGTTAAAGGCCTTAACACTTGTGTAAATAATCATGGCGCTTACTATAAGCATGTATATCTATAAAGAATAAAACAATATTAGAAATCTTCGACCATTCGGGAATTATTTTGCTTGAAAATTAATGCGCCTGTCATTTGACCATCTTTACGCAGTGATCTCCCCTGAATTTTTCGGCGTTAGTGTACATATAAAGGGAAGTAACCGCTTCAAAAAAGTGGACTACTTTCGGCTTACAGCATTAGAGTCTGAAATTTCGCAACCATTATTTGTTTGGTCTGACGACCCAAACAAATAAAAATCGAGAAACAGAAAGAAATCCGCGCCATTTTTTACAACTGTTGTACAAATTCTACAAAAAGTCGAGGGGAGCGACCTTTTGTTCCTCAACAACGGTCTCATAAAATTTATCATGCCATTACTATGACAACTGCCTGATAAAGCCTGTCTGAGAACAGCAACCTTTCTCAGTCAGTGACTTGAGAACACTATGTTCCTACGCCAGATCAGCACTGATGATGTTTATTGTTGGTATTGTTTAATTGACTTGCTGAATATTTATGATAATACACAGTAAATAAATTGTTAAAGCAAATTGTACCGAAAATTGTGTTGTGTTATAAAATTATTGGTAAAAACCCTCGGACTACTTTTTTGGCGTATAACCCTCTTGTGGTTACCATACTTTCAGAAATAAGCGCCCCGAATTAAAAAAATAAGATGCAAAATCATAATAGAGGCATGATAAAAAGAATAACAAGTTACTGTCTTTTGAGAAAGGGATTTCTCAGACTCGGCTAGATATGGTCCTGAAGGGGCTCGGCAAGCCTCGCCCCTTCCAGGACCATATCTAACCTCGTCTGAGAAACCCTTTCTCAAAACCCAGTAACCTGTTATTCTCTATATCGCGGCGAGTAATAACAATTTTCAGCCGCGATTTTTTTTCGCAGCGGACTGATTTAACCCGGGCGATCGAATTTTCATAAAACGTCGCGTGTAAGAAATCCTTGACTTTACAAAAAGAAGCTGCAACTTTTTAAAAGAGACATATTCCGGCATAAAAAGTCGATGATTAAAGATCCTGTATTTTTTAATTAAGGTTGTGACCACACTTGAAATTTTATATATGTATATAATTATGCTTCTAAAACATTTTTTCAAATATCGAAGAATTTGTAAAATATGTACTGAATATTTGTGCACATTATTGTAATCATTAGAATATATGCATTCATTTCTAAATCAGACTTTAAAGAAAATAAACATCGCGGATTATAATGGCAGCTATCGGCCACGTGTGCGTGACTTAGTCTACTATGTAGACATGTAGAAAATGTCAGGGTTTCCCTCGTAAAACTCTACTTTTTACGACAGACGTTTGACAGAAAAAACTCGAGAGTTTGTAAAAGCCGCGACATTTTATACAATCTCGACACAAAATCTCGCGGATTTAACTCGAAAAAAATGTATACTAAGTATGACGCCCACTTCTAAAGTAATAGATACGTTAAAGTGATGAACTCTTCAATGAAATATAATATGATCACATTTTTTTTAGATTCCGTTGATTTTTTTTAATCCTCTGTTTTGAGAGTTTTTGGCGTATTCGTTTCTACTAGAGCTCCTGATTTTATTCTATAAATTTCGGACATGTTCATGGTAATAATTTTATTGCCTAATTCAATCTGAATAAAGTTCAGATCTTTATTAAGTTTTGTCCTACAATGCTTAGCGTTGACTAGGCGTTCATTTTGATCAGATTTGGGCCCACATAATTCCACAGTCATTTTTCTCTTGGCAGGATCGCTTAAAACTGTCTCTTCTCCTTCAGGCAGGCAGACATGCAGGCATTGCAAACAAGAAGTATCTTTAAAAAAGATACTGCCGAAGTTAAACTGATTAACTTGCATATTTTAGTCTTTTGTTATTCCATGCAAAGTCATATAGAAATGTTAGCATACTTATTAGTTTCCATAACAATGACGTAATGATTTCTTGTTGGGTTATTAATCTTGAAAAATTGAACACTTGAAGATGTATGTGTTTCTAAACAAACGTGTCGTGTTTCTGTATGTGAACTCTATTTCTAGTACCAACATTTACGCAGTCGGACAGGCAATTATTTATTATACATGTAAATACTTGATTAATATGCAAAATATATTTACAAAAATTAAAAACATTATATGAGTTACTCAAAATGTACTAAACCATTTTTACAATACATGTATTAATATATCCTGGGACAAAATTATGTATAAGACAGGGGCGTAACTAGGCGTACTCCTGTACGCCCGTGCGTACAAATAAATCCTGTATTCCAAAAAATCACATGCGCTAAAAGTTCTAGAAAAGTGATAAAAACGGAGGGGTAGTGTGGTCTGGGCAACATATATTCATATAGGCCTGCTAATTTTTCTATCATAAAAAATCATAACATATACAGTAAATACATTAATATCTTTTATTTAAAATGATCTAAATAGAGTATAAAATTCCATCTCAATTGTATGCATTTATTTGAAAGATTCTTGAATAAGTTGGTGAGATAATTATTCTTTGTGGTCAGCAAAACATTGCGATGAGCCATCAAGCAAGTTCCATGTGCAGTTATATCATTATTAAAGTCACATATCTACTAAAGAATTTACTTTATCACAAAATATCTTAAATGAATCCTTTAATGTATTCACGTGAGTTTAATGGTTAACTCAACATAATCTACATGTATGTTATACGTAACGAATTTTAATTAATTTAGTGACATTTCTGAAAGGAAATTTTAAAATATCTTTGCGTTTACTTTTTGATATATTAGCGATGTCTATACGCCGTATAACAGGGGGAAATAGCCAGTTTTATGCTATATTATACGGTTAACGCACGATTTTCCATGTTATAACGTCTGCAGATTCCCGAGTAACGGTGGTTGGTGCCCGAGCCCGGTAGTAGTATTTGGATAAATACTGGCCAAGCACAAGGATTAAATGTATGTGTTTTGTATTAAATATACATCATGAATCTGTTTTAATATTTTATGTTATAATAGCGTGTCATAAAGTCTTCAGAATAAACCCATGTTTGTCCGAGAATCTCACTGTTAGCTGTGGCGTAGTGTGCTGGACTAACGTAAATTCCAGCAGCCCCGGCTTTACTGAAGGAAGCAAGGCTCTGTACCCAAACGTGAGGCATTGTTTGACCCTTTTAGTGGTCATGTCAGTTCTCGGAAACAACTGACTAAAACGTCAGAAATACGTACTATAGACACTGGGCGTATGTCTTGTCTAGGTCTCATAAATGTTTAAAAAGGGCAAGTTGGCAACTAGTGTTTGTTTCTGTTTGTTTGTTTGTTTATTTTTACTTTAAAATTTATTGAATACGGGAGGTTTGTTGCTATAACATCAGTTCGAATGTTGCAAAATAACAAATTTGTGCTGTAAAAATATCAATTATAAATATAAGAAAAGTTTTATGGTATAAATACGTACTTGTTCATTTTACATAATAATTATGTTAAAATTAATAAAAAGAGTTTGAAATCATCACCAATATGTTGTCAATATAGCCTCTAGATAGTCACGAAATGCCAGGATATCGCTTCTCCTTTCCAAAACTTTTCTCGGGGGAGCATGCCCCCGAACCCCGCTAGTTAAGGAGTACATTTCAAAATAGCTCAGTTACGCCCCTGTAAGATATATTACAAAAGTAAAAAAAAATCAAAGATGCATGTCTTAACCACGGTCATTTGCTATAGTATTATCCATTAAACCAATGAAGTGACACCTGTATGGTGCACAAGGAGTGCACATGGTGTGCACATGGTGTACAATTTTAAGGACACTCACTATGTACACAAGGGTTGTACTAATGCAGTAGTATACTTCCCTTATTTCAAATCTATAATTAGATCAATAGGTACAGCATTGAAATATGAATCCGGCTACCCGAGTTCGATTCCCGGGCGGTGCAGTCACTTTCGTTGTGATTGATCATGGAATTCTTTTTACATTCATATGCACTTTACCTCTGATTTGGTATGTCTACAGAAGTTACCAGTTCCCTGAGAAGATAAGGCAGTTATTTCTGACCAATTGCTTGACAGTCTTCCAAGGAACGATGAATGAACTGTGCTCTTGTAAATTCACTGTGGCTTACTACCGTGATTCGAGGGGTTATCCACCAACACCACCGCCATCTTTTAAAAAGATCTACATGAATAATCTGTGAAGTAACAAGCAGCTGATGAACAGACCTGATAAACGGACAATGTGGTTCTGCTTTGTTTTCATTTACACAGAAAAGGCTTCTTGCCATCATATTATTCTTTAAAGTGTCTCAACAGAATGAGAAAAAAATACAACAACTAACATAATAAATTTTGGGTCTTATTTGACTTTGATAGTGTTGATTTTTTTAAGTTGAAGACAGAATTTTATTCTTCAATGATAGTGGAATCAATAGTTAAGAGTCAAGTGTGGCTAGTTAATTTACTTTAGAACAAACATACTGTACGAAATTTGACTAGGCCGAGTCAAAAAAAAAGAGCCATGTCCGAAATGGTACGGTAAAACACGGGGGAAAGTACAGAAAACAGGAAGTAAATAATTAACGTCAACACCGTCAAAATGTCAAAACAAATTTTTTTTGACTTTTTCAAGACTTTTTAACGTAAATGTCGAGCACAAGATATGTAACAATCGATTTCAAAAAATGAGTACTGATACTGAAGGAGAGAATGTCAATTCTTCCGAAAAGGACACTGTCACGTCACACAGAAAGGTGATTAAATGATATAGTTTTCGGACAGGCAATTTTCTTGCATTACTCAGTTACTTCAGGAGTTAAAATTATAATTTCAGTATAATATGAACAAGGCAAAGTCACAAAGCAAGTGCTTTGACAGAAATTATAGTACATTATAATTAAAAGCCATCGGCGGCTACACATTTTATGTTTTCAATACACTTAAAACTGCACACTTTTGTCTGCACAATTACATGTAGGAAGTCGCTAGCCGTACGGGCCCGTATGGCTAGCCAAAAGTTCTAGCAGTACGTGAGTCACGTATGACTAGCAAGGACACACTGTATCGGCTAGCCGTACGGCACTTTTCAAAATTAGATGGAAGTCGAAAATGCATATGTTATTTTATGACTTTAAGAGAGGATTTTAACCAAGAAACAGCAATTGTCTTCGTATGTTAACTTTTAAGGGATTAATCGCCTTGTTGGCTACAGTAAAAAAAGTACGAATATCGATCTTTGTCATCTCAAGACGTTTAGAAAAAATAGCATTTGGTCGCAGTTAAATAACATCAATTTAAAAAGTTTACAAAAATTTTGATGATAATCCGTTTTTGTTTCATTAAGTTTAATTTTTGACACCTTTAAAATAAAAAATTGTTGTTGGGCTCTGATAATTGCGTCAATTACCGACGGTATAGAGTTTGTCCATCATTAAGGAAAGTTTGCATGTCCCGTGAAATGCATTTTAAAATTCTATTGTCAGTCCCTGGGTAGGCTTTAATTAAGGCTTACCGGGGTTTTTTTTGGCCGATTTTATAGCCGTTATTCGGTCATATTCCCAATTGAAAATAGTATGTTTTTTTCCCAATTTTGATACAAAAATTCCCAATCGAAAACTTAAAAAAAAAAATTTTAAAAATCGATCTTTGGGGGAACGTAAAATTAAGCAAATAGCCGGCGTCTAAACAACCCACGTGTTAAGTAGACGCTTGATTTCTTAGTATAAGTTCATCGAGCGTCTTACGATACCGACGACCTTCGAAAGTGAAAGTAAATCAAAATGTTTCACACGTTAAAAAAGCACTGATAAAAACAGAAAAAATGATTTAATGTTTACGCAAGCGACTCTCTCGGAAAAGATTTGTACTTCTGAAACGGTAACGGCAGTACTAATGAGAAATCCTTCAACCGTGACCGTGAGTTACCACAATGATGTTCCTTCTTGGGGTTTTAAAAGTTCTAGCGACGAGTTTAAATCAGATACAATTGTCCCTGTCAATGATCAAATGTTATTAAGTTCCAACAAATACGAGTTGAAGTATGCATTGTTGTTTTATAGTGGTGCAAAAGTTTGGTATTGTTGCAAATTGTGCGAGTTTTTTTTCAGCTACAGATGACAGATAACTCATTATCATATAAATTTGCATGATAGACATTGAGAGAATATTTGTTTTTTGAAATTTATAATTAAGAAATTTTATTTAAAAATAACATTCTTGTTCAAATAAAATTTACCAAATATGTATCAATGTATGAAAAACAGATAAAAACAAAATGATAAGATTTACTAAATTTTATTCAGAGTCAATTACTATATCTACAATGTATGCACAATACAATAACATAACATTAAAATCAACACTGTTATTTTCATCATATAATTTTATTTCCTATTTTATAAAAACTAATAAGAACTATTAGTTACACACTTCTAAAGGTGCTAATTTAGTAATTAATAAACCTGTGTTTATAATGCTTTATTCAAAATTGTTTCACACTTCTAATTGTTCTTATCTGTTATATAAAAACATATTTTATTTAATCAATATTTTTATGGTATTTAATTTTTGGATAACAAAAAAGATGAAATAATATATACATGTAGACTTATAGCTGATAATTCTTTCAGAACTCATATTTATAATTATTTTCCCAGGGAAATTTCACTATATTTATGTCAAAAAAATCTTCTTCATGAATGTAATTGTTTGCAAGTATGTGTTATATTATATATAATATTAACCCATAATGGTATTTATTTCATATATTTATCAAATTTAAAAAAGTGGTGATGAAAACACCAGGGTTTTGAGGGTGAAAACATCCAGGGGTGAAACATCCAGGAGGTGTAAAGTCAAAACACCATACAATAACACAGTTCAAAAATTTGAAAATCAGAGACCTACTTTTGTGAACTAAATCCTATAATATTAGAAAAGGAATATATTGCCTCAGGAAACTTGAAAATGTTGTGGTTTTTTTCCCCCAATTTTGGGCAAAATGCCGCTAAAATTCCCAATCTCAAGGGTATGGGTCATGTTCCCAAAATACTGGAAAAAAACCCTGGCTTATTACTTGATTGTGCTTTTATGTTCGATATTTATTTACTGTATTTGAAAATTATACAATAATTTTTGCTTTTCAAAAGTTTTTTTTTTCAATGTTCTTTTAATTTTATATTCCACTCCGATCATTATTTATTCGATCCATGTGCTTAATGAACAAAAATTCACCTTTCATACAAATAAAACAACAAATCATAATTATGAGGCACAAAATAACATATGCATGTTCGACTTCTATATAAGTTTGAAAAGTGCCGTATGGCTAGACAATACAGTGAGTCCTGGCTAGTGGTACGTGACTCGCGTACGGCTAGAACTTTTGGCTAGCCGTACGGGCCTGTACGGCTAGCCACTTCCCCCAAAATTTAACTCAAACCATTTTTCACTTTTTTCCTTTTTTAAAACTGCCATTCGGTTTTTTAATCCCCTGTTCCCTTTTTAACCCTGTTTAATTGTTTTTCCCAAAATAAATGGTTTCCTTTAAAAAACAAGGAGCCACTCGATCCTTTTTCCAATCAAAATTTCCTTTGGGTTTTATCTTTATTTTGAAATTTTCCAAAAATTTTGTTTGGGTTAAAACATCATACAGTATCAGATTTTTACTAGCTTTTATCTTAAGCTCCCCTTTAAAAAAAAGAAAAACTAAAAAATTTCCCTTTAATATACCTAATTTTTTACGGGGTATTGCAAACGGGTTTTTTTTGTGCCTTTCCAATGGCCCCAATGCATATAATCTTCCATTGGTAATTTTATACGGGCCCCAAAAAAGAAAAAAAATTTTATGACAACTACACTAGGTGGGCGTGATAGCTCAGTTGGTTAGACCACTGCCAGTGTTTTTTTCCTCTACTTTGGGAATGGTGCCGGTACCAGACTGATTGGGAAAAAAATGCGTTATTTTGACTTAAATTTGGAATTTTTTTAAGCATTTTTTCAGCTAGAAATAAGATAAGTCATCATGAATATAGATAGCTAACAGCTTCCACTGTCCAGGGAGAACTATTGAGTGGTGATTTATATGAATATGTTGGATTTAAATGATTTCAGAGAAATTAATTGGCCTTGTGGTTATTTTGAACAGCCATTTTGGGAATTTAAACATTGGAAATTGGGAATTTTACTGTCTATTTTCTATTGGGAACTGTACCGTTTTAGGGTAGTAGTTATATAAAGAAAAAAAACACTGACTGGATGTCACTCCTGAGGACCCGGGTTTGATTGAGTTGAAATTTTGTAAGGCAAATCCTCTTAAACCGGATGGCAGATTTTGCTTTAAACTTCCAGGGATGAACGACCTGAACGTGTAGATAATTTAACAGAATTATGGCCCTTTGTTAATTTTTTCATTAAGCACTAAGAGTATTCAAGCATGATGTCTATTTGACAGCCCTTGTATAAAATATCTTATTTTGAAATGAATCGACAACATTTATAATATACAGGACTCCTAAATTCCTTTGCAACTGCAGAATAAAAAGTTCCACATAAAAATCTTACATACAGATATGCATGCTCTTGTTTACGAGCACATCTGCACAGTGGGGGCATCCGTGTCCTTTGGACACAGTTCTTCCTGTAAACCAGTCTAATTACATTTTAATTGCGTAGGCGCTTATTTAAATATATTGTTCTATTACTTTATAATTGCAAGCGTTTATTAACCCATTACTTCATATACACGCCTTTTAACGCCTTTTTCACCCCCCCCCCTTTTTGTTGTCTCAAATGATGAAAAAATGCCTTATTCAGGCCCCAAACACTTGTTTTTGTTTGAGAAATGTTGTTAAAAAAAGTGACCTCTTTTTCGGCGCGGCCCCCCAACCAAAAGATACATCAGGGGGTTGCCAGAAGGGGGATGTGCCCCCTTCTGTTTGGGGGGTTTGAATGGGGGCGGAGTCCCCCTCATCGCCAAGAAAAATTTTGGACTTGTGAGAGGCTGTAAATGACCCCAGATTGATCATAAGGTAACGTGTAACCAACGCTGAAAAGCATTTGACTCTATCTCAATCCATTGAGAAAGTGCAGCACTTTTGAAATCAATTTTGATGGAAAAAATCAACGCAAAATAGTGATTTTTGTCCCCTCGCTGCCAATTTTGAGCAATGTCCCCTCGGTCCAGTTTTGTGGCCAAGGTTGATTAGCAGTTTTTATAGCTATCTATAAGGTAACATTTTTCAAAATGCTCATTGAATTCTTAATGGGGTTTAATGAAAAAAATAAAAAAATCTACAAAACAACAATTTTTTTCTTCAAATTTATATGACAGGCCATGTTTTAAACATGGAAAAAACGCGATTTAGGGTAATTTCAAAGTATTTTCATCATTTTCAGTATAACCCATTACTTCATATACACGCCTTTTTTAACGCTTTTTCTACCCGCCCCCTTTTTTGTTGTCTCAAATGATGAAAAAAATGCCTTATTCAGGCCCCAAACACTTGTTTGTTTGAGAAATGTTGTTTAAAAAAAAGTGACCTCTTTTTCGGCGCGGCCCCAACCAAAAGATACATCAGGGGGTTGCCCAGAAGGGGATGTGCCCCCTTCTGTTTGGGGTGTTTGAAGGGGGGCGGAGTCCCCCTCATCGCCAAGAAAAATTTTGGCACTTGTGAGAGGCTGTTGTAAATGACCCAGATTGATCATAAATAAGGTAACGTGTAACCAACGCTGAAAAGCATTTGACTCTATCTCA